AGCATTTGATGGCTTGGCAGTGCCTGGGGGAATCTTTTGTTGAGAGGTGATTAGATGTGCCTGATTGTTTCTCTCTGTTGTTTTGCTGTTGTAATTTTAGAGTCCTTTGTCCCAGAATATAAACTAAGCATTATTATTATTATTATTATTATTATTATTATTATTATTATTATTATTATTCCATGTATGGTTAAAGTTTTCCTGGCTGGAATCACTGGGTTGTTGCAGGTTTTTAGAGCATGGCCATATAGCCTGAAAAACTTACAACAACCCAATTATTATTCCCTCCCTTTTGACTGGAAAAGAAAACACACTGTCAAGGGAGGGGAAGAGGAGAGAGAAATCTATATAAATAAAAATGTAATGTTCGTTTGTGGTATTCACAGAACTCAAAAACCACTGGGGCAATTGGCACCAAATTTGGACACGATACACCTAACAACCCAATCTATGTCCTTCACTAAAAAAAATGATTTTGTCATTTGGGAGTTGTAGTTGATGGGATTTATAGTTCACCTACAATCAAAGAGCATTCTGAACTCAACCAATGATGGAATTGAATCAAACTTGGCACACAGGACTCCCATGACCAACAGAAAACACTAGAAGGGTTTGGTGGGCATTAATGTTGAGTTTGGGAGTTGAAGTTCACCTACATCCAGAGAACACTGTGGACACAAACAATGATGGATCTGAACCAAACTCTACACCAAAACTCAATATGCCCAAATTGAGTTGGTGGAGTTTGGGGAAAATTGAACACTGGTGGAGTTTGGGGAAAATAGAATCTTGACATGTGGGAGTTGCAGTTGCTGGGATTTATAGTTCCCCTAGAATCACAGAGCATTCTGAACCCCACCAACGATAGAATTGGGCCAAACCTCCCACATAGAACCCCCATGACCATCAGAGTGGGCCGCAGCAACGCGTGGCAGGGGATGGCTAGTATATCATATATATTGCAAGCAATGGCCTCCAGGCTCTACTGTCTGGCCTTGACCCCTTCATAAGCAAAGAGAGGCATTCTCAGCTCAATAAAAGGGCTGACAACTCAGCTTATCTTTGAGTATATGCGGTATATAAAGCATCTCAGGTTCCTTTTCCCTGCTGTAGGTAGTTATGAGTTCGGTTCAATTGGGATTCCCAAATGTCCAGCCAAGTTGGTACCTGGAACATAATATTTTGTTTGGAGAGGAAAGGTTTAACCCTGCGTTTGGAACGAATGGACATCCAGGCTTTGAAGGCACAAACTACAAGAGAGGAGATTCCATCTGAACACGAGGAAGAATTTCCTGACTGTGAGAGCCGTTCAGCAGTGGAACTCTCTGCCCCGGAGTGTGGTGGAGGCTCCCTCTTTGGAAGCTTTTAAACAGAGGCTGGATGGCCATCTGTCAGGGGTGATTTGAATGCAATATTCCTGCTTCTTGGCAGAATGGGGTTGCACTGGATGGCCCATGAGGTCTCTTCCAACTCTTTGATTCTATGATTCTATCTGACTTGCTTTGCTTCCGAAGGCATTCCGTTCACGCGACGAGGCTCAAACGCAGTATTCTCAGTGCCTGGTCGAAAAAGACAAATATCGGAAGCAGATCCGGGAGCTGGAAGAAAGGAATGACGAACTCCGGATCGAAGTGGTTCGAAAGGAGGCCTGCATCATTAATTTGGAGTGCAAGTTGAGGCGCCTCTCCAAGGACAACGGCTACGACCAGGTAGAGTTCGAGAAAAGGATCACACTGTTCTCTCTCTCTCTCTCTCTCTCTCTCTCTCTCTCTCTCTCTCTCTCTTGCTGGGCAAGCTCATTTATACCTGGCATAGGTGGGCCATTGCTGGGATTAATGCACCTGGCAGAGCTCGTCAAAGCTTGACACCTTTCCTTCTGGACTGCCTCGTGACAGTGCCAGCAGCCTCTGCCAACCTTCTCCTCTGGAATTGGCTGGCTTGTCTGGAGGTGACCCTGTAAACAGCTGACTGGGATCCAGGTGGCTGGCCATCATGCAACGTTCCTTGAGTTGAACTGTCATGTCACAGCATTGCTTCCATTCTGGAGGGTGTTGCTGCCCCGTGCAACCCAAGTGGAGAGAGCAATGGGTTCTAGTGACAGGGTGGATGGCACACAGGTGAGTCTGACTGTGGGCTTAGGACGTTGGCATCCGTCCCGGCTGAGGAGCATTGCTTTTGGGTTTAAATGTCCATCTGGCATGCCTTTCGGTGTACAACAAAAAATAGAACTCAGGAGAAATTACCTTTTTGGACTGTCTTTCAGACACACTTAGCCAACATAACCATTTTTTGTGGGTTGTTGTAGGTTTTTCGGGCTATATAGCCATGGTCTAGAGGCACTCTCTCCTGACATTTCGCCTGCATCTATGGCAAGCATCCTCAGAGGTAGTGAGGTCACTACCTCTGAGGATTTATTTATTTGTCGTGTCAGAACAACCAGTCTAACAGAACAAAGCAAACAAACAGAAAAATACACAACTTGTGAGTTTGGTAGCTGGTTAAATGTCCTTTGACCAGTATCTGGCCACTTGGAGTGCTTCCGGTGTTGCTGCAAGAAGGTCCTCCATTGTGCATCGGGCAGGGCTCAGGTTGCATTGCAGCAGGTGGTCAGTGGTTTGTTCTTCTCCACACTCGCATGTCGAGGATTCTACTTTGTGGCCCCATTTCTGAAGGTTGGCTCTGCATCTCGTGGTGCCATTATCACGGGGTGTCTGCGCCCCACACCACTGGAGAAATTACACTGCTTAGCCGGTATTGCACCACCTGGCATCCGCCGGGAAGTAGCAGCCAATAGTGAAAGGACCAAGGCAGAGACATCTCCAGCTCATCCCCTGTTTGGGTATCAGCCAGCACGCCAACGACTTAAATCTAGACATAGTTTTCTAAGATCTACAGAGACACTCGCTGGAACACCTCAGCAAGCGAGAGTCCAAAAGTGGCAGGCTCAAACCCAGCACCTCAACCAATGGCTGATACCAAATGAGAGACTCCCTCCTGGGCACACAGAAGACTGGGCGACTTGGAAGGCATTGAACAGACTGTGCTCTGGCACCTCTGAGGATGCTTGCCATAGATGCAGGCGAAACGTCAGGAGAGAATGCCTCTAGACCATGGCCATATAGCCCATGGCCGGAATCACTGGGTTGTTGTAGGTTTTTTCGGGCTATATAGCCATGGTCTAGAGGCACTCTCTCCTGACATTTCGCCTGCATCTATGGCAAGCATCCTCAGAGGTAGTGAGGTCTGTTGGAACTAGGAAAAGGGTTTATATATCTGTGGAATGACCAGGGTGGGACAAAGGACTCTTGTCTGCTGGAGCTAGGTGTGAATGTTTCAATTGACCACCTTGATTAGCATATAATGGCCTGACAGTGCCTGGAGCAAACTTTTGTTGAGAGGTGATTAGATGTCCTTGTTTGTTTCCTCTCTGTTGTTGTGCTGTTGTAATTTTAGAGTTTTTTAATACTGGTAGCCAGATTTTGTTCATTTTCATGGTTTCCTCCTTTCTGTTGAAATTGTCCATTTTTTTTCCTCCCAAGCTGTGACTAAAATAATACTGTGTGAATACAGTAAATATATATTGCAATCCAATATAGTGGCACAGTGGGTTAAAGCGACCTAGCAACCTAGCAGTTTGAAAACATGCAAATGCGAGTAGATGAATAGGTACTGCTTCATTGGGAAGGTAACAGTGCCCCATGCAGTCATGCTGGCCACACGACCTTGGAGGTGTCTTGGCTTTGAAACAGAGGCAGGATGGTCCTCTGTTGGGGTTGCTTTGAATGTGATTTTCCTGCTTCTTGGCAGAATGGGGTTGGACTGGATGGCCCACAAGGCCTCTTCCAAGTCAATTTTTTTTTTGGTCGTGTCAGGAACGACTTGAGAAACTGCAAGTCGCTTCTGGTGTGAGTGAATTGGCCATCTGCAAGGACGTTGCCCAGGGGACGCCCGGATGATTTGATGTTTTTATCATCCTTGTGGGAGGCTTCTCTCATGTCCCCACATGAGGAACTGGAGTCAATAGAGGGAGCTCATCCGCCTCTCCCCGGATTCAATTCCAACTCAATGATTCTATGCTGAAGTAAACAGTAAGCTGAGCTCACAGTCGGGAGCTCATGCCAATCTGGGGCTTCGAACTGGCAACTTTTTGGTCAGTAGATCTTATCATTGCTGGTGATTTGTCAGCTGTGCTAAAGTCTGGCCCTTGGAGGTGTCTATGAACAAAGCCGGCTCTTTGGCTTAGAAATGGAGGTGAGCACCACCCCCCGAGTCAGACACGACTGGACTTAATGTCAGGGGAAAACCTTTACCTTTAGCTATATTGCAATCCTCAGAATAACTGAATAGACTACTGCAACATGCTCTACGTGGGGCTGCCTTTGAAGACTGTTCGGAAGCTTCAAATAGTCTAATGGACAGCAGTTCGATCTTTAAGTCCTCATATCGTATCAGCTTTTCCAGTTGTTTCTCTTCAATTCTGCTGTCGCCTGGGATTGCAACATTGATGATCCGCACTCTGTTTTTTAACATGATTGTGAGGTCAGGAGTATTGTGCTCTAAAACTCTTGTCTGTCTGAATTTAGAAGTCCCAGAGGAGTTTGACGTGTTCATTCTCTGTAACCTTTTCAGGCTTGCGATCCCATCAGTTCTTTGTTGCAGGCAAATGGTGTTTGTGGCACAAGTTCCAATGAATCATCTGAGCAACGGTGTTGTGCCTCTGCTTGTAGCCTGTCTGCACGATCTTCTTGCAGCAGCTGAGGATGGGATCTATTGTTTCATCTACTTCCTTGCAGAGTCTACAATTGGGATCTGTCATTGACTTTTCAATTCTGTCTTTGATGGCATTGGCTCTAATGGCTAGTTCAATTTCTGAGCCACAGCCATGTTTTTTCTTTGTCAATAATTAAATTATTATTATTATTATTATTATTATTATTATTATTATTATTATTATTATTCCAAGCCCCTTAAAGCTGATCTTCCAATGAGCTAATACTAGCAAAGTTCTCATTGAAGCAAATCCAAGATGATAATTCTGAAACTGTGGTCAATGAACTTTTGGAAAGTATAGCATTAGGAGGTAACATTCATTGGATGTCTTCTTGCTCTTTCTTCCAGAGCTTACCAAGAAACCTGCCCCTCACTGTGATTTCTCAGACTTTGGAGTCCCAAGGCCCCAAAACCAACGGCCAGGAGGCAGATGATTCCTCTACTTCAGAGGAATCTCCAGAAGACAGCAAGTTCTTCCACTCAGAGCAGCCCCGATTCAGAAGGATGAACTTGAAAGGCATCCAGGTACTGTCCAATCTGAGATGAGATTGCTGGAGTCAGGATGCGTGTCAGGAGCAACTTGAGAAACTGCAAGTTGCTTCTGGTGTCAGAGAATTGGCTGTCTGTACCTATTTTGCGACATTGAATGTTTGCTTTTTTATGTGTATCTGATCACCACTGGGACTACCTTTACTGGCTTGTGCCAGTCTTTCCAGTTTGGTATTATTATTATTATTATTATTATTATTATTATTATTATTTGAAACACAACAAGATTTTTTTTTTTGTCGTGTCAGGAGCAACTGCTCCTGTTGTGAGAGAATTGGCCGTCTGCAAGGACGTTGCCCAGGGGATGCCTGGATGATTTTTGATGTTTTATCATCCTTGTGGGAGGCTTCTCTCCCACAAGATGAGTCCACAGCAAACAAGATCACTCTGATGGCTGTTGTATTGGATCACACGTTGGACACTTCCCAAGTATCTAGGACTGTGTGATGTTTTGGTGAATCATGCGTGCACATCCCAATAAGGTGGCCTTCTGCAACTGGCAGATGGTAATTTTGTCAGCGCCGATTGTTTTTAAGTGCAGGCCAAGGTATTTAGGCACTGCACCCAGTGTGCCGATCACCACTGGGACCACCTTGACTAGCTTGTGCCAGAGTCTTTGCAGTTCGATGTTTAAATCCTCATATCGTGTCAGCTTTTCCAGTTGTTTCTCTTCAGTCCTGCTGTCGCCTGGGATTGCAACATCGACGATCCATACTGTGTTTTTTAACACAATTGTGAGATCAGGAGTCTTGTGCTCCCAAACTCTGTTAGTCTGAATTCGGAAGTCCCAGAGTAGCTTGACATGTTCATTCTCTGTAACTTTTTCAGGCTTGTGATCCCACTAGTTCTTTGTCACAGTCAGATGGTATTTGTGGTACAAGTTCCAATGAATCATCTGAGCAATGGTGTTGTGCCTCTGCTTGTAGTCTGTCTGCGTGATCTTCTTGCAGCAGCTGAGGATTGTGCCAGAGTCTTTGCAGTTCGATCTTTACATCCACATATCATGTCAGCTTTCCCAGTTGTTTCTCTTCAATCCTGCTGTCGCCTGGGATTATTGTTGTTGTTATTATTGTTATTATTATTATTATTATTATTATTATTATTCTACTGACACAAAATAATAATAATAATAATAATAATAATAATAATAATAATAATAATAATAATAATAATAATAATGTTCGTTTGTGGGATTAACATAACTCAAAAACCATGGGACAAATTGACACCAAATTTGGACACAATACACCTATCAGGCCAATGAGTGACCATCACTCATAAAAACATCAAAAATGCAGCAGAAGAGATTTTAAAAGCCAAAAAACAAAAATTACATTACAACACATGCACAAAACCATACACACACATATACACACAAACAAATGTATACACAAATATACACACACACATATAAACTCACAAAACACATATACACAGACTGGGCCACAGCAATGCGTGGCGGGGGACAGCTAGCAATAATAATAATAATAATAATCCCAGGTAACAGCAGGATTGAAGAGAAACAACTGGGAAAGCTGACATGATATGAGGATTTAAAGATTGAATATTTATTATTATTATTATTATTATTATTATTATTATTATTATTAGTGCTGGTACGGCTGTACCAGGAGCTCCAACTTCTTTTCCTTTCTTGAGTGTTTGCATGTATTCCAAAGTTCCATACATTTTGCAATAAGGTGGCTTCCCTTCGTTTGCAAGCATAGGGCCAATGACCCATCAATTATCATTACGTTCTTTAGTTCAGCCCCTTTTTCTGGGTTAAGGAGGGAAAAAGGGGACCTCTAGTTCAGTTCATACAGAGAAGCCTTTCGCACAGGACGTGAATCAGTTCCACCTGTAGAAAGCTTCGTCTTTTTCAGCTTTGCTGGGGGGATCCAGTCCCACAGTTCTACAGAGAACTACAGCATAGCCTTTGTTGGGGAATTTAGTTCCACAACTCTACAGCCAGCTCTTTGCTGGAGAAATACAGCTCCACGGTTTTACAGCCAGACTTCGCTGGGAAACAAAGGACTTCTTTCCTCTTGGAAATCTACACAGAGACTTTGGCTTGGTAAGGACCTCTCACGGCAGCCATAACGCAAATTGGAACCGGGTGTAGGGGCCCCACTCCAGCAAAGCCTAAATATAGATTGCCCAAGGAGGGATCAAGGATTTCCCTTGTAGAAGGAAGAAACAGCTTATGAAGAAAGTTGCCTGTCCCTTGTGGACAATATTTAAGCAAGCCACCAGTTGATTCAAAACCTTGAAGTATTTGTTTGATTTATTGAAGATTTAAGTAACAATAAAAACTTTGTTGAACTTTCTACGTCTTTAAAAGAACTTTGTGTGGGGAAATCCGAAGGGCCTCTCAGCCGAGGCACCCCCGGCGTCCCGTTAGACATTCAGAAAACATGTCCTGTCTACAGACTCTTTCACAGACCCAGCGTGTGACAGTGAAGTCAATACGGACTTTTGGAGGGTCTCCCCAGTAAGAGAGACCCCTAGGACCGCACCAAAGAGGGTCTGTGACCTTGGCGAGCTGTCCGAGAAGCCTGATTTCAGCAATTTGATTAAAATTAAAAATTGAAATGAGACTCTTGCTAAGGCGAAGAAGTGGCACCGAGGTTTATTGAGCGATTTAGCTGAGTCAGATGCAATTGCGGGGATAGCTCACCCACAAGCATGCCGGTACAAAGTTTGCAAGCATTTTTATAGACAGAACACATACAGAGATTTCAAATTTCCCGCCCGCCCTTCCCCGCCCGGCTTGTTGGTGATTGGCTGGTGGCGTGTTTTGGGGGGGAGGGGGTGTTCGGCTTCAACAGCACATTATTATTATCCCCCCCCCCCCCAAAGTGCTTCCTTGAGCCCTAATTCCATGGCCAATTGGCCATAATTGGGCAACTCTAAATTCCTTCATTACAAAGAGAGTATTTTCTTTCTCTCTCTCTCTTGTTAAGTAATCTTAGTAATTTTGTCACATTGGTTCCCCCCTCCCCTTCTGCATCCTGAAGTTGTTCCATCCCCTTCTGTTTGTGTAAATACAACTCCTGTTATTATTTCAAAATACGGGGATTTCGGTGTATAGGATATCTGTCATCCTGTGCCACCTTCTCCGTTTCCTCCAAGGGAGGCACATGGAGCCCCTGCTTGGTGTTGGGAATGTGTGGGCGGTGTTTCTTCTGGGGGAACGCTAACACATGTCCCGAGTTCATTTTGATTTCTCTCCTCTTTCAGCTGCCAAGAATAAGATCCCCCGTCAGTGTGAGCAAGGCATCAGATTTTCAAGGTCAGCGAAAAAAAGCCCACGTCCCTGTCGCCTTCGTCTTCCTCTTAATGCTCAAGCTGTTTAGCTTGTTCTCGTCAATGTTACCAGGCGGGGAAGCATAAAAATAGTTTCCCAAAAGACGCTTGCAAATATAGTTAAGTTTCCCTTGAAATCAGAGCTTGAGGAAGTGGGTTTCTGGACTGGGATGCTCAAAATCCCCCATCCAGCGTGGCAAGGGCGCACTTTAGTCCCAGAGGTCAGCTTGAAATAAGGAGGCATTTGAACCAAGACTCCTTCCCATCTCTCCAGATCGGGACTCTTCTCATATCAGATTGCTCTGGTTCTGAGTCCAAATCGATCCAAGAGCCAAAGCCTTTGAGACTTCTGTGTAAAGAGACTCTTACCACCAGTCCCAGCAGAGAGTGGGATAAGCAGAAACCGAGAGAGCATTTTGAAGCAAATTAATTGCCATCTGTCTCCTGGTGCTCAGGTGGCAGATGTGATTAAGCAAAGAATTCCTTATCGCATCTTCAAAATGACTTGTTGGATTTGTGTTGATCGTTGGGTTTGGGGAAATCATTCACTCAAGAGCAGGATTTGAAATAATAATTACATACTTCTGATAAGATATATTGCCGAAGGCTTTCATAGACGGAATCACTGGGTTGCTGTGAGTTTTTCAGACTGTTTGGCACATGTTCCAGAAGCATTCTCTCCTGACGTTTCACCCACATCTACGGCAGGCATCCTCAGAGGTTGTGAGGTCTGTTGGAAACTAGGCAAGAGAAAGAACTCTTGTCTGCTTGAGGTATGTGTGAATATTGCAATTGGCCACCTTGATTAGCATTATGTCGTGCTGTTTACTTTGTATGTTTTGGTGATGTTGTTTGGAAACCGCCCTGACAGAGCAGTATAAAGATTATTATTATTATTATTATTATTATTATTATTATTATTATTATTATTATTCTGACACAAAAGCACAGTATGTCACTGCAAATGAGATCTCTATGCTGGATTTCGTATCACAAAATCACAAGCTGAACACTTCCCAAGCGTCTAGGACTGTGTGATGTATTTTCGAATGATGCGCACAGATCCAAGTAAGGTGGCCTTTTGCAGTTGACAGATCGTGATTTTATCGATGTTTATTGTTTTCCAATGCTGGCTGAAATCTTTTATTAATAATAATAATAATAACAACAATTGTTATTATTGAATGGTCTTGCAGCTTCAAAGCCCGGCTGCTTCCTGCCTGGGGGAATCCTTTGTTGGGAGGTGCTAGCTGTGAAATAATGTCCAGGGTGGGATAAAGAACTCTTGTCTGCTTGAGGCAAGTGTAAACATTGCAGTTGACCACAATTAGCATTCAATGGCCTGTACTTTCAAGGCCTAACTGGTTGCTGCCTGGGGGGATCCTTTGTTGGGAGGTGTTAGCTGGCCCTGATTGATTCTTGTCTGGAATCCCTCTGCTTTTTGAGTCTTGCTCTTTATCTACCGTTCTGATTTTAGAGGGTTTTTTAATATCTGTGGAATAATGTCCAGGGTGGGATAAAGAACTCTTGTCTGCTTGAGGCAAGTGTAAACATTGCAATTGACCATGTTGCTTAGCATTCAATGGCCTGCAGTTTCAAAGCCTGGCTGCTTCCTGCCTGGGTGAATCCTTTGTTGGAAGGTGTTAGCTCGTCCTGATTGTTTCCTGTCTGGAATTCCCCTGTTCTTTGAGTCTTGTTCTTTATTTACTGTCCTGAGTTTTTTTTAATACTGGTAGCCAGTTTGTATTCATTTTCATGGTTTTCTCCTTTCTGTTGAAATTGTCCACATGCTTGTGGATCTCAACGGCTTCTCTATGTAGTCTGACATGGTGGTTGTGAGAGTGGTCCAGCATTTCTGTGTTCTCCAATAATAAGCTGTGTCCATGTTGGTTCATCACATTATCCGCTATGGCTGACTTCTCTGTTTGAATTAGTCTGTAGTGCCTTTCATGTTCCTTGATTTGTGTTTGGGTGCGATGTTTGGTGGTCCCTATGTAGAATTGTCCACAACTGCATGGCATCCGGGCAAATAACACCTCCCAACAAAGGATCCCCCCAGGCAGCAACCAGCCAGGCTTTGAAACTGCAGGCCATTAAATCAGAGGCGGCCCTAGGTAATTTTCAACAGTAAGCAAACAGTATTTTGCCCCCCCCCCCCAACCAATCACTGATATGTATTTTCTGTTCATCATGGGAGTTCTGTGTGCCATATTTGGTTCAATTCCATCATTGGTGGAGTTCAGAATGCTCTTTGATTGTAGGTGAACTATACATCCCAGTAACTACAACTCGCATATGTCAAGGTCAAAATCAACAATACTGCAAATGCTTACTTTGCGTAATGGGTTGAGCCACCCCTGCATTCAATGCTAATCAATTATTATACAATTATATTCAATATTATAATTATAATTATATATTTACATTACATGTAATATTACTAAAAATATTACTATATAATGGTATAGTGCAATATAGTAATATATACTGATATTGTACTATGTTATTAATATAATATATTGTATGAAAATATATATTGTAAGCCGCTCTGAGTCCCCTTCGGGGTGAGAAGGGCGGCATATAAATGCCGTAAATAAATAATAAATAATAAATAAATAATCAAGGTGGCCAATTGCAACATTCACACGTACCTCAAGCAGACAAGAGTTCTTTCTCCCACCCTGGACATTATTCCACAGATATATAAACCTCACTTATTTACTTTCCAACAGACCTCACAACCTCTGAGGATGCCTGCCATAGATGTGGGTGAAACGTCAGGAGAGAATGCTTCTGGAACATAGCCATACAGCCTGGAAAACTCACAGCAACTTTATGCTCTCTAAGGTTTGCCCATTGCTTCTCCAAATTGGCCTTGCTCCATGTGTTTTGGACTCCACTTCCAATCATTCTTAGTCAATGGTTAGAGCCATTGGGAGCTGTAGTCCTAAAGAGAGTGATTTGGTTCCAATTTTCAAAGGTAGTTGTTGTGACCTGGTTTTGATTTGCTTTTGAAACAAAGAGAAATGAGTCAGGTAGGATCAGAAAGCAAAAAAGAACGCCTTGGGTCAGGGAAGAGATAGAAATAGATGGCATCATGGGAGACGGGGAGGGAAGTGCACACCAACCCAAAGCAATAATCGCATGTGTTAGGAATCTTGTTTGCACACCATTATTTCCACCGAAGCAAACCCTAATGCCAATATCTCAGGTATCTTTCATCCCTCCTGACTCCATCCTTTTCTGTCATTTGTGAGCTCAGCGGTCCGAGGACATGACGATGACCGATGTGACACCAGCAGCAGCCACGCCGACACCAATTCCTCTAATCCTGTTTCCATCAGCAACTCAGTGGGCAGCTGCAAAGTTGGCAAAATTGTAAGGAACTGGTGGGGCATCCCATGCATGACCTTCCCGGTGGGATAAGGCTACGGGACCAGGGAGGGAATTTGAGTCCATTCTGATCTCCATATTGGCAATTCCTATTGCTGCAAACTGCAAGGATTTGTCAATCTGTAACTTAAAGCCTTAAAAAATGCCTTCCTTTATTCAAGTTATGGATCTTATCACTTAAAGCAGTGTTTCTGAACCTGGGGGTCGGGACCCCTGGGGGGGTTGCCAGGGGGTTTCAGAGGGGTCACCAAAGACCATCAGAAAACATACATTTCTGATGGTCTTAGGAACCCCTTTGGCAGAGAAGGCTGAAGATCTCTCCGCCTGTCGTTCCCTTCCGTTTTGTAAACAGACGGTCAATCTTCCCACCAAAAGCCATCTCCTGCTGTGATTGGCCAGCCCCTCAGACAAGGGGAGGGTTGTTTCTGAGACTCCAAGTGGGGAAGGGAGAACAGGTGTGCTTGGCGCATGGCAGTGTGGTACACATGTGCTGGTGAGGGGGAGCATGCAAAGCTGGAGGGAGTTTTACACCAGCAAGTCCATTCAAGGCATGAGGGTTCTGTGTCGGAAGTTTGGCCCAATTCTGTCATTGGTGGAGTTCAGAATTCTCTTTGAGTTCACAGTGTTCTCTGGATGTAGGTGAACTACGACTCAAAAAAATCAAGGTCAATGCCCACCGAACCATTCCAGTATTTTCTGTTGGTCATGGGGGTTCTGTGCAGGAAGTTTGGCCCAATTCAGTCATTGGTGTAGTTCAGAATTCTCTTTGATTAAAAGGGAACTATAAATCCCAGCAACTATAACTCCCAAATGTCAAGGTCTATTTTTCCCAAACTCCACCAGTATTCAAATTCGGGCATTTTAAGTATTTGTGCCAAGTTTGGTCCAGATACATCATTGTTTGAGTCCACAGTGCTCTCTGGATATAGGTGAACTACAACTCGAAAATTCAAGGTCAATGCCCACCAAACCCTTCTAGTATTTTCTGTTGGTCATAGGAGTTCTATGTGCCAAGTTTGGTTCAATTCCATCGTTGGTAGAGTTCAGAATGCTCTTTGATTGTAGGTGAACTATAAATCCCAGCAACTACAACTCCCAAATGTCAAGGTCTATTTCTCCCGAAGTCCACTAGTGTACATATTTTGGCATATTGAATATTTGGGCAAATTGAATATTTGTGCCAAGTTTGGTCCAGATCCATCATTGAGTCTGGATGGAGGTGAATGCCCACCAAACTCTTCCAGTATTTTCTGTTGGTCATGGGAGTTCCGTGGGCCAAGTTTGCTCACACTTGGGCATATTGAGTATTTGTGCCAAGTTTGGTCCAGAGCCATCATTGTTTGAGTCCACAGTGCTCTCTGGATGTAGGTGAACTACAACTCCAAAACTCAAGGTCAATGCCCACAAAACCCTTCCAGTATTTTCTGTTGGTCATGGGCTCTCTTTGGATGTAGGTGAACTACAACTTCCCCAACTCAAGGTGAATTTTCCCCAAAGACCTCCAGTATTTTTTTTTGCTGGTCATGGGGGCTCTATGTGCCAAGTTTGGTGCAATTCCATCGCTGGTGGAGTTCAGAATACTCTTTGATTGTAAGAGAACTACAAATCCCAGGAACTACAACTCCCAAAGTACAGAAACAATCCCACCCTCAACCCCACCAGTATTCAAATGTGGGCGGATCGGGTATTTGTACCAAATTTTGTCCAGTGAATGAAAATACCTGCATATCAGGTGTTTACATGACAATTCATAACAGCAGCAAAGCTATGAAGTCACAACGAAAATAATGTTATGGTTGGGGGTCACCACAACATGAGGAACTGTATTCAGGGGTTGCGGCATTAGGAAGTTTGAGAAACAATTGGAATAAGTTTTTCCTGACTTCCAGCATCTGCTCCCAGAAGCACTTGCTTCTTGCTGTCAACAATAGTGCCGGCCCTTGCTTCAGCCCTATCTGCTCTATTTTTATACGTACTCACTTCTCAATGACTATTGTTAGCTGTTTCCATTGGGAGCAAGTTCCGTGTTGCAATGACAATCCTAGGAAGAATAATGTATGCTCCCATCAGACAATGCTTTTCATTTCCAGGGGCCAGCATCTCTTGCAATCTCCCAGCCAGGTGTTTCTGTGTCCTTCCGAGGGCCTTTCGTTCACACTCCGCAAGATCATTCCCTCTGTAACTCACGCCGCCCGCTGTGCTCGCGATCACATTGCTGGGTAATAGGATGTCTACCTTGTGAGATTATGGGAATGCATCCAGCCAGGGGAGAAAATGGATCGGCTGGCAATTGCCGAAACCTTGTGTCCCCTCCCCTCTTTGCTTTGGCTTATGGATTGCAAAAACACAAGGAACTGTAAAGAAAAGAATGCAAAAAGGAATGATATCTGATTGCAAGGCAACAAGCAAGGGAAGGTCTCCTCTCCTTCTTTCCTGCAAATAAATAAACTTCATGGCAAGCCAGCAACCATCTTTTAAGTCAGTGTTTCTCAACCTTTCTAATGCCGTGACCCCTTAATGTAGCATTTTTCTGAATGAAGCAGAGCGTGTTTGAGGACCGGGACATCCGTAGGGAGACCAAGGTGCTTGTCTATAAAGCTATTGTCCTCCCAACCCTGCTATATGCCTGTGAGACGTGGACTGTCTACAGACATCACATGCAACTCCTGGAACGATTCCATCAGCGCTGCCTCTGGAAAATCCTGCAAATCTCTTGGGAAGACAGGTGGACAAACGTCAGCGTGCAGGAATAAGCAAAGACCACCAGCATTGAAGCAATGGTCCTCCACTATCAACTCTGCTGGACCGGCCACATTGTCCGGATGCCCGACCACCATCTCCCAAAGCAGTTGCTCTACTCCGAACTCAAGAAAGGAAAACAGAATGTTGGTGGACAGGAAAAAAGATTTAAAGATGGGCTCAAAGCCAACCTTAAAAACTCTGGCATAGACACTGAGAATTGGGAAGCCCTGGCCCTTGAGCACTCCAGCTGGAGGTCAGCTGTGACCAGCAGTGCTGCAGAATGGAGGGTGAAAGAGAGAAACGTGCCAAGAGTTAGGCGCGTCAAGCCAACCACGACCGAGACCACCTCCCACCTGGAAACCAATGTCCTCCCTGTGGGAGAAGATGCAGGTCAAGAATAGGGCTCCACAGCCACCTACGAACCCACCCCCAGGACACCGAACTTGGAGGACCATCATCCTCGGACTACGAGGTGTCGCCTAAGTAAGTACAGTTCCTCATGTTGTGGTGACCCCCCAAACATAAAATTCTTTTCGTTGCTACTTCATAACTGTAATTTTGCTACTGTTGTGAATTGTAACGTAAATATCTGATATGCATTATTTTCATTCACTGGACCAAATTTGGCACAAATATCCTATACGCCCAAATTTGAATACTGGTCGGGTTGGGGGTGGGATTGATTTTGTTATTTGGGAGTTGTAGTTGCTGGGATTTATAGTTCACCTACAATCAAAGAGCATTCTGAACTCCACCACCGATGGAAATGAAACAAACTTGGCACATACAACTCCCCTGACCAAGAGAAAATACTGGAAGGGTTTGGTGGGCATTGACATTGGGTTCGGGAGTTGTAGTTCACCTACATCCAGAGAACACTGTTGACTCAAATCAAACCAAATGCTTTATTTCAGTCATAGACCAGCACAGGAATTTATTTATTTATTGTTGTGTCAGGAGCGACTTGAGAAACTGCAAGTCACTTCTGGTGTGAGAGAATTGGCCGTCTGCAAGGACGTTGACCAGGGGATGCCTGGATGATTTGATGTTTTTATCATCCTTGTGAGAGGCTTCTCTCATGTCCCCGCATGAGGAGCTGGAGTTGATAGAGGGAGCTCATCCGCCTCTCCCTGGATTCGAACCTGTGACCTGTCGGTCTTCAGTCCTGCCGGCACAGGGGTCTAATCCACTGCACCACCGGGGGCTCAGCACAGGAAATAAAGGTCATAGTTTCATACGAACTTGGTACATTTAGTACATTTAAAATGTAAATATAAATACTGAAGCACAAGAGGGGGTGAGGGAGAGGAAGGGGAAACAGGGTAAAAACATACAATACACAAGTATATCAGCAAATTATAGAATCAAGGGAGATGATTACTGGATACACAATTAACTTTTGGGACCAGTCATCCCCACTGTGGACTCAAACAATGGTGAATCTGGACCAAATCTGGCATGAATACTCAATATGCCCAAATGTAAACACTGGTAGAATTTGTGGAAAATAGACCTTGACATTTGGGAGTTGTATGTGCTGGGATTGATAGTTCACCTACAACCAGAGCATTCTAAAACCCACCAATGATATAATTGGGCCAAATTTCCCACACAGAAAGAACTTGCTGGTGCGAGCCTCCCTGTAGCCTCGCACGCTCTCCCTTGCCCACACACGCACACCACGCTGCCATGTGCTGAGCACACCTGCTCTCCCCTCTCACCACTTGTAGTCTCAGAAACAGCCCTCCCCTTGACTGAGAGGCCGGCCAATCACAGCAGAGAAGGGCTTTTGATTGGAGGATTCGCTGTCTGTTTCCAAAAAGGAAGAGAAGGATAGGTGGGGTGATGTTCAGCCTTTTCTGCCAAAGGGGTTCCTAAGACCATCAGAATCATAGAATCAAAGAGTTGGAAGAGACCTCATGGGCCATCCAGTCCAACCCCCTGCCAAGAAGCAGGAATATTGCATTAAAATCACCCCTGACAGATGGCCATCCAGCCTCTGTTTAAAAGCTTCCAAAGAAGGAGCCTCCACCACACTCCAGGCAGAGCGTTCCACTGCTGAACGGCTCTCACAGTCAGGAAGTTCTTCCTCATGTTCAGATGGAATCTCCTTTCTTGTAGTTTGAAGCCATTGTTCTCTTTCCTAGTCTCCAGGGAAGCAGAAAACAAGCTTGCTCCCTCCTCCCTGTGGCTTCCTCTCACTTATTTATACATGGGTATCATGTCTCCTCTCAGCCTTCTCTTCTTCAGGCTAAACATGCCCAGCTCCTTAAGCCGCTCCTCATAGGGCTTGTTCTCCAGACCCTTGATCATTTTAGTTGCCCTCCTCTGGACACATTCCAGCTTGTCAATATCTCTCTTGAATTGTGATGCCCAGAATTGGACACAATATTCCAGGTGTGGTCTAACCAAAGCGGAATAGAGGGGTAGCATTACTTCCCTAGATCTAGACACTATGCTCCTATTGATGCAGGCCAAAATCCCATTGGCTTTTTTTTTGCCGCCACATCACATTGTTGGCTCATGTTTAACTTGTTGTCCATAGAGGACTCCAAGATCTTTTTCACACGTACTGCTCTCGAGCCAGGCATTGTCCCCCATTCTGTATCTTTGCATTTCGTTTTTCCTGCCTAAGTGGAGTATCTTGCATTTGTCCCCATTGAACTTCATTTTGTTAGTTTTGGTCAGAAATATATGTTTTATTATGGTCTTTGGCGACCCCTCTGAAACCTCCTCACGACCCTCCCAGGGGTCCCGACCCCCAGGTTGAGAAATGCTGCCTCATGCTATCAAACTAGAGCTTCCCCAAGCAGTCCTTGGTGGATCTGCACCATCCTCCGAAGCAGGCTCAAGTGTTTAGTTCTACTTATTGAAGCCCCTCTTACCTTGAAAGCTTTTTACCTTTCTCTTTCTTTTATAATAGTGCTGTACATTGCTGTTTTATTTTACAGTATGTTTTGCTGTATGGTGTTTTGCAGAAGGTGGAAAGGTCTGGCATTGGCATACCAGATAAATCAATAGAAATAGAATAACCACCTCTGTGCTCTGGGCAGAAGAAAACATAAAATTGACTTCAGGGGATTGAACATCAGGGTGGAGGAGCAACTCATTAGCCATTATGTAAATCATAGCTTTGGGTTGAGCAAGCTGTCAGAAACTTTGGAAGAGACGTCCAGCCAGACGCATACTGATATTATTGGCAAGGCATCAAAGCAAGTAGATATTGGTCTGCGGAGTCGAAGCACTCACTCCTTGTGCTTGGATTCTTTAGGAAGCTGCCTTGCAGGGCCGTCTCTACCGTTGGCAGATTGAGATGTCTACCTCTGGTCTGGGAAAGGCTGCATATTGACAGTCATACATTCATAATTGGATGTGAATGTTAGGGAGAGATGCTTGAGACATCTAACTTGCCTGGTTTTGGTGTGAGGCATCTTAACTTGTGGATTTAGGCAGCACATTTGCTGGTGAGCACTATTTGCGTGTCATGCAGCAAAATGTCTAGGAATAGCTCTGACATTTTGACATTTTACACCAGTTTCCATTTGAATAATTTCCATTCTGGTGACCAAGCTTATAGAACGGGGTGGAGGGGAGGGTAACATATGAGAACAAGGTTGCAGGTAAAGCTTATCAGATTTTTTAATGTTACCTTGTTTGTTGTGAGCAGATACATGTGGCTACAGTTGGGTGGGCTAGAATTGAACCTGTCTTTTCCCAGCATTATTATGTTGTTGTTTACTATAGATATCCTGATGCAATGCCACACCGAAAGGTTGTGCTTCTCTAGTCCTCCTTTGCCAGCATCCCAGTCCTGGTGCTGAGGGAAAAAGAAAAAGGGAGGCTGGGCAGACCTGTTTATTTATCATGTCAGAAGTGAATTGAGAATACAGATATAATGTACAGAGAAATCTATATAAATAAAAATGTAATGTTCGTTTGTGGGATTAGCAGAACTCAAATACCAGTGGGCGAATTGACACCAAATTTGGACACAAGACAACTAACAACCCAATGTATGTCCTTCACTCAAAAAAATTGATTTTGTCATTTGGGAGTTGTAGTTGCTGGGATTTATAGTTCACCCACAATCAAAGAGTATTCTAAACTCCACCATCGATGGAATTGAACCAAACAAGGCACATAGGACTCCCATGACCAGCAGAAAATACTGGAAGGTTTTGGTGGCATTGACCTTGAGTCTGGGAGTTTTAGTTCCCCTACATCCAGAGAGCACTGTGGACTCAAACAATGAAGGATCTGGACCAAACTTGGCACAAATTTTCCATATGTCCAAATATGAACACAGATTGAGTTTGGGGGAAATAGACCTTGACATTTGGGATTTGTAGTTACTGGGATTTATAGTTCACCTACAATCAAAGAGCATTCTGAACCCCACAACCGACAGAATTGGGGCAAATTTTCCACACAGAACCCCCATGACCAACAGAAAATACTTAAGGCCATCCAGTCCAACTCTCTTCACCAGGGCAAGAAAATGTAATCAAAGCCCTCCTGACAAAGAGCCATCCAGCCATGGATATAGATAGATATATATGATTCACACACACACACAGATATAATATCATAGATTTGAAAGGGACCCCTAAAGAAGGACAATTATATGTTGCATGTTCCAGATGAGGCAAACCAGACACTCTCCACATCTACAATGACAAAGAAACAACAAGAAAATACTGTTTACCCTCAAGCATAAAGAAATGACATAGATTACAAACCATTACTTTATTTTCCAGACCACCAGACTGGGCCACAGCAATGCGTGGCAGGGGACGGCTAGTCTATATAAATAAAAATGTAATATTTGTTTGTGGGATTAAGATAACTCAAAAACCACTGGATGAATTGACACCGAATTTGGACACAATACACCTATCAGGCCAACAAGTGACCATCACTCATAAAAACACCGAAAAACACAGCAGAAGATACTTTAAAAGCCAAAAAAACTTTAAAAGCCAAAAAAACCAAGAAAAAAATACATTACAATACATGCACAAAATGACATATATATACAAACACACATCTATACACACGTATACACACACATAAACGCATATATACATACACAAAGCACATATACACAGACTGGGCCACAGCAACGTGTGGCAGGGGATGGCTAGTAATAATAATAAATAATAAACTTCATTTATACCCCGCCACCATCTCCCCAAAGGGGACTTGGGGAGGCTTATATGAGGCCAAGCCCGATAATACATAACAACAAAAATATCATCACAGTAAATAAGTAAGACATAAAAGTAAATAAACAGTACAAAGTAATAAGGTGGGAAAACAATCACAATGGGTGGGCCAAATGTACATAAAATGATAAAACACTGGATGAGATAGAAATGACCAAAATATATGAATATAAGAGAAACCACAAACAAAGTTAAAAACTTGGCATGATGCTAAATTTCCTTTGACTAGAAGCTGGCCACTTGGAGTGCCTCTGGTGTGGCTGTGAGAAGGTCCTCCATTGTGAATGTGGCAGGGCTCAGGCTACATTGTAGCCTGTACATTCTTCACACTTGCGTATTGCGGATTCTACTGTGTAGTCCAATTTCTTAAGGTTAGCTCTGCAACTCTTGGTGCTGGAGTGCAGTCTGTTCAGCGCCTTTCAAGTCTCCCCATCTTCTGTGTGCCCAGGAGGGAGTTTCTCATCCAGTCTCAGCCATGGCTTGAGGTTCCAGGTTTTAGCCTGCCACTTTTGGGCTCTTGCTTGCTGAGATGTTCCTGCAAGTATCTCTGTAGGTCTTAGGAACGATTTCTTGATTTTCTTGCATTGGCTTGCTGGCTGTAATCCAAACAAAAGATAGGCCAGAGATGTCAATGCCTTGGTTCTTTCATTACAGGCTTCTACTTCCCAACAGATCAGGTGGTGCAATACTGGATAAGCAGTATCATTTCTCCAGCAACGTTGGGTGTAGACATTCTGTGATACTGTGGCATGTCTCATTAAGAACCACATCCACGTGGTGAGATGTATTCCACACTGGGCATGCATACTCAGCAGCAGAGTAGCAAAGCGCAAATGCAGATGTCTTCATTGTGTCTAGTTGTGATCCCCAGGTTGTGCCAGTCAGCTTTCATATGATGTTGTTTCTAGCGCAAACCTAAAAATGTGCTTCTTTCTCAGAGGCTTTGAAAACTGAGATCAGAACTGAATTGAACATTGCTGTTTTATGTATTGTTGAAGGCTTTCATGGCCGGAATCACTGGGTTGTTGTAGGTTTTTTCAGGCTATATGGCCATGGTCTAGAGGCATTCTCTCCTGACGTTTCGCCTGCATCTATGGCATGCATCCTCAGAGGTAGTGAGGTCTGTTGGAAATAGGAAAAAGGGTTATATATCTGTGGAATGACCAGGGTGAGACAAAGGACTCTTGTCTGCTGGAGCTAGGTGTGAATGTTTCAACTGATCACCTTGATTAGCATTTTTCCTAGTTCCAACCCTTTTTCCTAGTTCCAACAGACCTCACTACCTCTGAGGATGCTTGCCATAGATGCAGGCAAAACGTCAGGAGATAATGCCTCTAGACCATGGCCATATAGCCCGAAAAAACCTACAACAACCCATTGTAGTTTTAGGCCTTTTATGTGTATGTTATGTGTCTTATGTCTTCTTCCTTCTCAAAATACAGCAAACGCTGCGGAATCGCAACCCCAGCATCATGTCCACAACCCCAGAGCCACCAGGGAATGACTCCATACTCCGGCGTTCCAAAGAAGATGCTCCCCATAGCAGGTGGGTGCTTCCAGATGTAAGATATGAGCAAACTGCAGACTCTGGGCTTCATGCAACTCCTATTATTAAAAGAGGTGCATGATGAAACCCATTGCTGTGGCTACTAAGCATATTGGGAGATGGCTGAGTTAGCCGTGGATGCCGTACTGCTTTGAGACGGTGACTGTCATTATATATATTTTCCCTCGCTGCTGCATTGGGCTGGGGGAGGAATATATGGAATTGTCAGAATGCTTCTGATCGCATTTGACAAGGTGACGAGGGCAACTCCAATTTTTCCTGGGCTTGTACTGTACCTGAAAATACTTCCCTTAGATGGAAGTATTGCCACTGGTGAACTGGTGACATTTTGCATGCATTGTGGGTTTTCTTTTTCAAAGGAGAAGAGAAGAGAAAGGAAAGGAAAAGAACAGGTGCTGGATCAAATAGAGCCTTAAGCGTGTGCAGTTATTTTTGAATATATATAGAGATTTTTAAGGTATTATTACAAAGAGAAGAAAACGAGAGTAAGAGAAAGGAAGTACATAGGGAAATAGGCAAATATATTATTATTATTATTATTATTATTATTATTATTATTATTATTAGAAATACAATAAGATGAGTCCACAGCAGACACTCTGCTGGCTGTTGTATTTATTATTATTATTATTATTATTATTATTATTATTATTATTATTATTTGATATTCAACAAGAGTAGTACACAGCAAACACGATCACTAGCCGTTGTATTGGATCACAGGTTGAACCCTTCCCAAGTGCCTAGGACTGTGTGATGTATAATAATGTGTGCAGATCCAAGTAGGGTGGTGTTCTGTCGCGCGCTGGGCCTGTAAAGAATTTCTTTTAGAACAGAACGTGCAACCTTTGCCCAGCGGGAAGCCAGGGGGCCCAAAGAGAAGTTCTCAAAGGTTTTCCACCACAAATGATCTTTAGATGGCTTGTGAAGTATAACAAAGTCCTTTATTAATGAACAATCCAACAGAAACTTCTCTTGTCTTCAATAAAGCTAAACAATTGCTTCCAGGCTTTATGCAACTGGTGGCTTCCTAATCTTGCCCACGAAGGACAGGCAACTGTCTTCAATAACTTCTTCTTTACTTTAAAGGAAAATCCCCTTTTTAACTTCTCCCAGGCTGACTGTAACCTAACCCTTACTGATGTGGGCTCTGCTACCGGGTCGAACTGCGTCTCGAAGCACCGAGTGGACCTACCAGTAAAGGTTTAGATATTCTCCACTTGGAGTTCTTTGGTCTTTAGGGCTGTTTTCCTGGAAATCTTTGGAGACTCTTAAGACTGTTTTACATCGGAACATCTTAAGAGTTGAAGCTTTTGTACAGGGGAAGTTTGCACACGTCCTGTACATTAGTTTTCCTTACTGAGACTAACTAAAAATGGCTCCCTTCCCTTCCCAATTGCTCTGAGCAAGGGGGGGGGGGCAAAACTTAACGATGATGGACAGGTGAGTTGCCCTACGACTGCAACCAAAGGAAGCCACCTATCTGCAGAGTCCCTGAAACCTTGGACTGCAAACAAACATTTAATACAAAGCAAATAAAGTGGGAGCTCCTGGTACAGTCGTACCAGCACAGGTGGCCTTTTGCAGCTGACAGATGGTAATTTTGTCAGCACTTATTGTTTTTAAGAGCAGGCCAAGGTCTTTAGGCACTGCACCCAATGTCCCAATCACCACTGGGACCACCTTTACTGGCTTGTGCCAGAGTTTTTGCAGTTCTATCATCATTATCATCATCATCATTATTATTAAATAATATATTGAGATCTCTTGTTTGGAATTCCATAATACTTTGTGGCGTCATGTAAAATAAACCACCTGTAGTTCACGTTTGATCAGTCCACACACTGCCTTGCCAGAGAAAGAAAATATGCCACGCAGGTGAACAGTAAATAACAAGTATTGTCGAAGGCTTTCATGGCTGGAATCACTAGGTTCTTGTGGGTTTTTCGGGCTATAGAGCCATGTTCTAGAGGCATTTCTCCTGACGTTTCGCCTGCATCTATGGCAAGCATCCTCAGAGGTTAGTGAGGTCTGTTGGAATTAGGACAATGGGTTTATATATCTGTGGAATGGCTGGGGTGGGGCAAAGAGCTCTTCCCTGCTGCAGTTAGGTGTGACTTTTTAGCTGATCACCTTCATTAGCATTTGAAGGCCTGCCTTATTATGAGCTGCCTTTTCTAGATGTCCTAGTCATCCGCAAACCAGATCAACAATTGGGTCACACCGTCTACAGAAAACCCACACACACAGATGATATCTACATAAAAACTCCAACCATCACCCAAGTCAAAAAAGAAGCACCATTAAAGCCTTGGCAGACCGTGCAAAAAGAATCTGCGAACCCCACCTCCTCCAAGATGAACTGAACCACCTCAACTGGGCTCTCCAGGCCAATGGATACTCCACCTCAGACATCAGAAGAGCTGCAAGACCACGAACAAGCCACGAGAGTAAGGATGAAGATCCACCCAGAGGAAAAGTGTTCCTGCCATACATCAAGGGAACCACTGACCGCATAGGGAAGCTGATGAGGAAACACAACATACAAACAATCTACAAACCCACCAAGAAAATCCAACAAATGCTACGTTCAGCAAAGGACAAGAGGGATCCTCTCACCTCTGCAGGAGTCTACCGTATACCATGCAGCTGTGGACAAGTCTACATAGGGACCACCAAACGCAGCGCCCAGACACGCATCAAGGAACATGAAAGGAACTGCAGACTACTTCAACCAGAGAAGTCAGCCATAGCAGAGCACCTGATGAACCAGCCTGGACACAGCATATTATTTGAGAACACAGAAATGCTGGACCACACCAACAACCACCATGTCAGACTACACAGAGAAGCCATTGGAATCCACAAGCATGTGGACAATTTCAACAGAAAGGAAGAGACCATGAAAATGAACAAAATCTGGCTACCAGTATTAAAAAACTCTAAAATTATAACAGCTAAACAACAGAGAGAAAAAACCAGGCACAGATTAACACCTCCCAGCAACAGATTTTCCCAGGCTCAGGCAGGCCTTCAAATGCTAATGAAGGTGATCAGCTAAACATTCACACCTAACTGCAGCAGGGAAGAGCTCCTTGCCCCACCCCAGCCATTCCACAGATATATAAACCCATTTTTCCTACTTCCAACAGACCTCACACCTCTGAGGATGCTTGCCATAGATGCAGGCGAAACGTCAGGAGAAATGCCTCTAGAACATGGCTCTATAGCCCGAAAAAACCCACAAGAACCTACTAAATAACAAGTAGTTTATGCTTTGTTGTTCAGAAGAACATATGTACAATGTGATCAGTTGCATCAACTCACATAATATCCTTTTATGAGAGATTTAAAATGGTCCTTCTTTGTCCATGTGGATAAACTCCTTCAGCAGCTCATGAAGCGAGAGCACACTCCAAACTCTGTCTCTCTCTGCTTCACTCTTCCTCACTCTCTGTGCACCTCATAGCCTGAACAAAACAGTAACAGCATCCAAAAGTCCCAGGCTCAGCCTGCTCCCCGGGGATTGCCCGACCAATAAGCTTCTGCTCCTTATTTTACAGTTCACACACACATATACACACACACTGATTCCTAGCATGCTCCAATATAATTTACAACCCAAAACTGTCCACTGAAATGGTGACATCTTCAATTTATGGTACACAGACTTTGTTTCATGCACAGCTTTATTTCAAATACTGTACGCAAAATAAACTCCAGGCTATGCAAACAAGCTGTATATCAAACATAGACAAATGTTGGCTCCCACTTTCAAGATACCATTCCAAAATCCAAAATGATTCCCTTCCTAAGCCTTTCAGATTGGGGATACTCCTCCTGGAAGTCCAGAAATACATTCCCTTGAAGTTCACATCTGTGAAACATCCCACTGTGGATAGCTAAAGGCAACGGAGCTTCTAAGCCTGTGCATACCTTTCTGAAATAGTTCTGAATCAAGCGATGCCAGGCGTAAAGAAGGCACCTGAAGTAGTTGAGACCTGAAATGCTTCTGCTCTGCCCGCTTCCCGTCACGCAGGGCGAGGGGAGATGTCTCCTTCCTTAGAAGCTTTGGGTTGATCTGCTGCCCTCCTCCCAGCATCCCCCCTTTCTGAATGGTACCTTCCCCAACCTTAAATCTTCTCTGTTGGCACCACCTGTCTCCATGCGCCTGTTAACCTCGAGCCAGCTTCCTGCATTGGAGAGGTCTCTGTTCTAAGCCTTCTTCTTCTTGTTGCTGAATGCTGGGATGTGTTTTGAAAAGGAAAGAGAAAGAGAATAACTACTGCCTTGTGTCTTCTTTAATTCCAGCCTGACTGAAGAAGACAATGACAGCATTGGTTACGACACTTTGGAGTTAGACGGTAAGGAGGAGGCTGGAGGGTTCAGTTGTGTTTACAAACAAGTTTGCTGAGATGGGTCACCTGGTGCCCGAAAGGGGTGTCAGATGCCTATGAAGAAGTGGATTGATACCCATAAAAGCCTGTGCCAAAATAAACCATTCGTCTCAACGGTACTGCTGAATTCCTTCATTCTGCCGCTTTTTTCCTGTCTTATGCTGAAATATTTATTTCAGGGTTTCTCAACCTGGGGGTAGGGATCCCTATGGGGGTCGCGAGGGTGTATCAGAGGGGTGGCCTGTCAGGATAATTGTAGTTATTTCATATATATGTTTTTCAATGTGTTAGTATTGCATTTCAAAGATGGATTCAGTTATGTTCAGCTGTGTGCTAGAATTGTAGTCACTAGAGGAAGTAAGAGTAAAATCCTTGAAACTGAGATAACAGAAATTCTTTTGCCCAGAGAAGAAAAAGGGAGTTAACCAGCCGGAAGGGCACGATGTTTTGTCTGTGTGTTTAGTCCTGTACTTTGTTAGTCGCCATCTTTCATTATCAAAATGTAGTCGCTTGTGAATAGACGCTTCTAGTAAAGCTATTTTGGAACCGAAGAAGAATACTGTGTGGTGATTGAGTCTGTGTGTTTTGGAAACCTCACATTCGCTGTGCCAGATCGGAGGGTCTCACTCTGACAAAAGGTTATGGGCCCTGAACTATTCGAAGTGTGGATTTATGGATTTATGGATATGTTGCCGGAGGTTTACCAAGGAGCAGACCTGTAAGCTTGCTGCCGGAGCCGTGAAGTTCAACCCAGTTGACTTGAGAGGCTGACGGCGCATGGAAACTGGAACAGCCTGATTGGAGACACACTGACATGGCCAAAGACCTTTAGAAAACACAGTATTTTCTGTTGGTCATGGGGGTTCTGTGTGGGAAGTTTGGCCCAATTGTATCATCGGTGGGGTTCAGAATGCTCTTTGAGGCTAAAATAAAGCAGTCTATATTATAACATTATAACATAGTTGATTTACTCACAAACTTTATGTATTCAGCATATAGGTTCATTGCATATCAATCCAGTTACAGATAGGATTTGAAGTAGTTTCTCTGTGTAGATAACACGGGGCATCTTTCTTAGAATTTTAACAGTCCAAAGTCTAAAGTATCTCTCTGGTTTGAAAATCTAATATAGTATCCCTAAAGCAGTGGTTCTCAATCTGTGATTCCCTTGGTTATTTGGCCTACAACTCCCAAAAATCCCAGCCAGTTTACCAGCTGTTAGGATTTCTGGAAGTTGAAAGCCAAAACATCTGGGGACCCACAGGTTGAGAATCACCGACCTAAAGCATTTTGTTTCTATTGACTTCCAAAAGCATACTGTTTCTAAAATGGAGTCTGAGTCCTGAATAGTCCCAGATTTAGTCACATGGTCTGCAGCCCCTCCCACAATATAGAGTTAAGGAAAACTGCAAACCAGTGCACACATAAGCAATCTGAATTGTATACATTACAAATAACTAGTATAGGAGGCTTGAAGAAGGTTGCTATTTCCGACGGATTCTGTGTCCTGGAAACAATAGCTGTGTTTACTGGTGATGGTCATGTTAGCTAGTTCTAGGATACTACAAACAGCCAAGTAGAGACCCGTTCCATTGAGGAGAAACTGGCCTAATTTCAATGGACCTGGGAAGTAGGAATGAAAAGTTTTCTGTAATGCCAGGAGTTTCCAGGAAAAAATACTCTAGAATTAAGAAAATCTCATGCTGATCTCCCAAATAAACTTGGTGTGTATAGGAACACAAAGCAATGGTATTCCCCATAGTCACCTATGGATGTGAGAGCTGGACCATAGGGAAGGCTGAGTGAAGGAAGATAGATGCCTTTGAACTGTGGTGTTGAAGGAAAGTTCTGAGAGTGCCTTGGACTGCGAGAAGATCCAACCAGTCCATCCTCCAGGAAATAAAGCCCGGCTGCTCACTGGAGGGAAGGACACTAGAGACAAAGTTGAAGTACTTTGGCCACATCATGAGGAGACAGCAAAGCCTAGAGAAGACAATGATGCTGGGAGAAATGGAAGGTAAAAGGAAGAGGGGCCGACCAAGGGCAAGGTGGACAGATGGCATCCTTGAAGTGACTGCATTGACCTTGAAGGAGCTGGGGGTGGTGATGGCCGACCAGGAGCTCTGGCGTGGGCTGGTCCATGAGGTCACGAAGAGTCGGAAACGACTGAACGAATGAACAACAACAACATAGGAACACAACCTGAGTCTTTCAGATACTGAGCCCTACTGTTCCAGTCTAACTTTCATGCCCAGGTAAAGGTAAAGGTAGTTCCCTGACATTAAGTCCAGTCATGTCTGACTCTGGGGTGTGGTGCACATCTCCATTTCTAAGCCGAAGAGCCAGCGTTGTCCGTAGACACCTCCAAGGTCTTGTGGCCGGCATGACTGCATGGAGCGCCATTAATGCCCAGATATATCAAAATTTCAGGTCTGTTTCTCACCACTCTTAGTTTTGATGCTTGTGTGTTTTCCTACCAACATTTTGCTCCACCTCTTTCTCCAGATGAGTTTCATGACAGGTATTCCTCATTGCCTTCCTCGTCCTCTTCCCATCAGTCTGAAGGGCTGGACTTCGAGCAAGTCAACTCCATTTTTCGGAAGTTCTCTCTGGAAAGGTATTTTGAAGGCTTGGTTGGGTTCAGGAATGTGGTTTCTGCTCAATGTCAACTAGTAAAACCACTACAAAAGGAAGTACAGGAGAACATTAGCTTGCAGACAGAAAGCGAATATGCAAGGAGAGAGGTGGAGACTAGTCATTTCTCTCTTGTGAGATTTCTATAATATAGGAAGGCTGCATTTATTTTGTAGAGGACCCTTAGTGCAGTAGTTCTCAACCTGGGGACTCCAGATGTTTTTGGCCTACAACTCCCAGAAATCCCAGCCAGTTTACCAGCTGTTAGGATTTCTGGGAGTTGAAGGCCAAAAACATCTGGGGATCCCAGGTTGAGAACCACTGCCTTAGTGGTACAATCCAGATAAGCCTTTCCTATTTGGTTCCACCAATTGCATAAGCTGGTTAGCTTTGAAGCTCAAGAGGAACAGAAAATGTCCCAGTGGGCTCCAGTTTTTTGTAACCTTCATAAAGCTGTTCATATACACAGAGCACCAGGCCAATCTGCTAGGGTGGACCCAATCCATTGGGAAATTCCCCAGCACTACTCCCAGTGAATAGGTGTTCTTGCTCAGTATTTACAAAGTGATAACCAGACTTGAGGCCACGATTGGTTTGTGTTTGGTTCTGTTGGGTCTGGTGCAGATCATGGTGGGCTCTGAGTGTCCAAAAATGGTCTCTAGACCTGGACCTCCCCATCCTTCTAATAAAATATGTACATATGTTTCATAGTTCAGCCTCAGAATAGTCTGACTGGGAAAAAAAACCCAAAATCATGAGTTTCCTCAAAGATGGAGTTCTCTAATAATAATTCCTGGTCCTTACTCTGGATGTGTCTTGAGTTGTGTGTTCCATTCTCCCCTGTCTCCTGGGCCTTGACTTCCACTATTTCAATTCCAAATTGAGAAAAGCCCATGTCCTCTCTTCTTCCCATTGACTCAGGCCCTTCCGTCCTTCGGTGACGTCTGTTGGCCGCCTCCACAACACGTTCCATGCTGTCCAGCAAATCATCGTGAATGGAGACACGCTGAGTTCGGAGATCACTCTGTTGGGAGGGAACATCAAAGGGAACTTCATCAAGTCGGTCAAGATGTATTCCCTGGCAGAGAAAGCCGGCCTCAGAGAGGGACACCAGCTGCTTTTGGTAAGGGTTACACAATGAAATCATATTGTGTATTATTATTATTATTATTATTATTTGAAACACAACAAGATGAGTCCACAGCAGACACTCTGCTGGCTGTTGAATTGGATCACACGTCCGACACTTCCCAAGTGTCTAGGACTGTGTGATGTGTCGGTGAATAATGCATGCAGATCCCAGGAAGGTGGCCTTCTGCAGCTGGCAGATGGTAATCTTGTCAGTGCCGATTGTGTTTAAGTGCAGGCCAAGGTCTTTAGGCACTGCACCTAGTGTGCCGATCACCACTGGGATCACCTTTACTGGTTTGTGCCACAGTCTTTGCAGTTCAATTTTTAAATCCTCCTATCATGTCAGCTTTTCCAGTTGTTTCTTTGCAATCCTGCTGTCACCTGGGATTGCGACATGAACAATGCATACTTTGTTTTTTAACACGATTGTGAGGTCAGGAGTATTATGCTCCAAAACTCTGTCTGTCTGAATCACACGTCGGATACTTCCAAAGTGTCTAGGACTGTATGATGTACCGGCAAATAATGCATGCAGATCCGAGTAGGGTGGTCTTTTGTAGCTGACAGATGGTAATTTTGTGAGCGACCACTGTTTTTAAGTGCAGGCCAAGATCTTTCGGCAGTGCACCCAGTGTGCCGATAACCACTGGGACCACCTTGATTGCCTTGTGCCAGAGTCTTTGCAATTCAATCTTTAAATATTCATATCATGTTAGCTTTTCCAGTTGCTACTCATCAGTCCTGCTGTTGCCTGGGATTGCAGCATCGATGGTCCATACTTTGTTTTTTCCCAGGAGTATTGTGGTCCAAAACTCTGGATATTATTATTATTATTATTATTATTATTATTATTATTCCACTTTTTAATATGTGATTGAGACAAAAAAAACCAGCTCACAACAATCAAACCATACAATTTAAAATCTCCAGCATATAAATATACTTTCATTCAGCAGTTCAGCAGTGGAACTCTCTGCCTCAGAGTGTGGTGGAGGCTCCTTCTTTGGAAGCTTTTAAACAGAGGCTGGATGGCCATCTGTCAGGGGTGCAACATTCCTGCTTCTTGGCAGGGGGTTGCACTGGATGGCCCACGAGGTCTCTTCCAACTCTATGATTCTATAATTCATGTATTTTCTTTTTCTCGTTGACATGGCAAACTGCCAGGGCTAACCCTACTATTGGGCAAACTGAAGCAGCCAATAATGAAAGGACCAAGGCATTGACATCTCTGGCCTGTCCCCAGTTCAGATATCAGTCAGCATGCCAATGCCTTAAATCAAGAAATAGTTTCCCAAGATCTACAGAGACACTCACAGAAACATCTGAGCAAGCAAGAGTCCAAAAGTAGCAGGCTGAAACCTGGAACCTCAATCCATGACTGATACCGAATGAGAGACTCCCCCCTGGGCACACAGAAGACTGGACAACTTGGAAAGCACTGAACAGACTATGTTGTGGCACCACACAATGCAGAGCCAATCTTCAGAAATGTGGCCACAAAGTGGAGTCCACGACATTCGAGTGTAGAAGAGCAAACCACAAGCCACCTATTACAATGCAGTCTGGGCCTTGCCACATGCACAATGGAGGACCTCCTTATAACAACACCAGAGGCACTCCAAGTGTACAAATACTGGTCAAAGGAGATTTAGTATCATGCCAAGTTTTTAACTTTGTGTTTTTAAATACATTACAATCGTACCTTTGGTTCGCTTCTGACACGATAAATAAACAAATGTACATAATAAGATACCTTGGTGACGATGTTCCAAGTCTAAATATGGAAGCTGTTTATGTTCCACACACAAATGATCACAGCAGGCCCGTAGCGAGGGGGAGGGGGTTAGGGGTTCCCCCCCCCCCGAAATGTTTCAGATTTTTTTTTAAAACCTGGTTTACTCATGAATTTTAACTGGTTAACCCAATCCCCATGCTAAGTCTATGAGATGCAAAAAATTAAGAGTCCCTCCAGAACTGCAAGCACTATCTCAGGCAAATATTAGCAATTTATTCACACTATCATTACTTGCAGCAATAGCCGATGTAGTTGTTCTGGTACAACTGTACCAGGAGCTCCAACTTTATTTGCTTTGTATTAAATGTTTGCTTGCAGTCCTAGGTTTCAGGGACTCTGCAGAAAGGTGGCTTCCTTTGGTTGCAGTCATAGGGCAAGTCACCTGTCCATCATTGTTAAGTTTTGGTCCCGCCCCTTGCTCAGGGCAATTGGGAAGGGAAGGGAGCCATTTTTAGTTAGTCTCAGCAAGGAAAGCTAATGTACAGGATGTGTGCAAGCTTCCCCTGTACAAAAGCTTCAACCCTTAAGACTTTCCGGGGGAAAACAGTCTTAAGAGTCTCCAAAGATTTCCAGGAAAACAGCCCTAAAGACCAAAGAACTCTAGCTGGAGAACATCTACTGCCTTGCTGGTAGGTCCACTCGGCGTTCGAGACACAGTTCAACCCGGTAGCGGAGCCCACATCAGTAAGGGTTAGATTAAAGTCAGCCTGGGAGAAGTTAAAACGGGGATTTTCCTTTAAAGAAGAAGTTATTGAAGACAGTTGCCTGTCCTTCGTGGGCAAGATTAGGAATTCACCAGTTGCCTAAAAGCTTGGAATCATTTGCTTAACTTTACTGAAGACAAGAGAAGTTTCTGTTTGATTGTTCATTAATAAAGGACTTTGTTGTACTTCTCAAGCCATCTAAAGACTGTTTGTGGTGGAAACCTCTGAGAACTTCTCTTTAGGCCCCCTGGCTTCCTGCTGGGCAAAGGTTGCACATCCTGTTCTAAAGACAATTATTTTCAGGCCCAGCGCGTGACAGAACAGTAGTGAAGCAACCAAGGGGGGGGGGGATGTTGAATGCTCTCATTAAGGAGGCCAGACTTGGTGGAGGTGGTTGACAGGGGCGGAGCTGCAGGCTATTGAAGGCTGCTCTGCCCCCTGCTGTGCTCTTTGCTTCAGCTTGAGCTAGGAGGCAGGTTTCAACCCCCCCCCCCCCCGTCACCTGTAGTTAAGGTTCAAACTGTAAGACTGAATAAACTGTCTCCTTTTCCCTCCTGAACCTGGGGAAAAGGGCGGTTCCAAAAATTTCAACCCCTCCCGGAATTTTTTTCTGGCTACGGCCCTGGATCACAGTGCTATTCTATATGTATCTACTCAAAAGTCAGGACTTGCAGGTGATTCATCAAGTCCTCGATTGTGAAAAGCCTGCAAATCAAGCCTCATTTCCCTTCAGCTACGCAAATCCCCATCACCGCCTTCATAAGACAGACTTGAATTTCACAACAGAGTTATCCTTCTGTTTGCTGCTGTTATTTTACAGCCAGGAGACGGTGGGCAGCCCAGAGAGGAGACATGGAGGGAGAGATTGGGAAGGAAAGGTTATCCATTTAACTGTTGTATCCACGGTGCTCCGAAAGAATAAGACAGGTTGATTGTTGCAGATGGATGCTAACTACACTTAGTTGTAAGTGGAATAAATGCCTCATAGGCGAGAATAACGCTGCTTTTGTATCTCTAGGTGGAGGGATGCATCAGAGGGGAAAACACAACTCTACCCTTGGATGCCTGCACAAAGGAAGAAATGCACTGGATAATTCAGAAGTGTAGTGGACAGCTGATACTCCACTGTAAATCAAATCATGAAGGTAAGGCGTATGTCAAACTTTTACGCATGCATGTATATTTACAAAGCACACCAAGCAATAATACGAGGGTTGAATGAAAAGTAATGCCTCCACCTTCGTAACTCCTCAACATATGGCAGTACTGGTATTCGGCAGGTACTGGCTTGTTCAATAGACTCTCTTCTACAGTTCCATTTTGGTGAGAAGCATTAGCATTGAATGGTTGTGTTGTTAAAGTGCAAAGTATGAAACCCTGCGCAGACAGTCAGTCAATGCAACTTAAGCTACGTATGCGGCAGGTACTGGCTTGTTCAGTAGACTCTCCTCTACATTTCCATTTTGGTGAGAAGCCTTAGCATTGAATGGTTGTGTTGTTAAAGTGCAAAGTATGGAACTCTGTGCAGACGGTTGGTCAATGCAACTTAAGCAACGTGCAGTCATTGAATTCTTGAAAGCAAAAGGCGTGACCCCAAAGGAGATTCATCAGAGAATGCAAGCTGTTTATGATGATTGTGTTGATGTGAATACTGTGCATCAATGGGCAAGTAAGTTTAAAGATGTTGAGGTGACACCTTCTGTTGTCAAGAACTCAATGACTGCATGTTGCTTAAGTCGCATTGACCAATCATTTTGGCACTATTGTTGGAGAGTGGTCCCTGGTCAAAGTGGTCCCTGATCAAGTAGATTAGATTAGGCGATCCCTCATAGCCCAAGGATGATGGTCCTCCAAGTTCAGTGTTTTAGCAATGAGTAAGTAAGCGGCTGTGGAGCCCTATTTATTTATTTATTTGGAACATTTCTATCTTGTCCTATCTTGACCTCCGAGGTGGGACTCAGGATGGCTACCAACAGGCAACAATTTGATGCCAAAGCAAGAAAAACATCATAAAATACAATCATATGCCTAAAAAAATAAATATAAATATACATTAAACAGTTCGCCAGGTTAAAACGTCATCCAAATCCATCCAAATTGCGGTCCAATAAAATTTCATCATTGCCAGTAAAATGCTTACTCCCACAACCAAGATTTAAGTTTCTTCCTGAAGGTTAATTCTTGATCTGCGTGTTCTTCCACAATGAAGACATCGGTTTCCAGGGGGCAGATGGTCCCGGTCAAGGTTGGCTTGACATACCTTTCTCTTGGCACATTTCTTTCTTTCCGCCTCCATTCATGCCTCTTCAAATTCTGCAGCACTGCTGGTCACAGCTGACCTCCAGCTGGAGTGCTCAAGGGCCAGAACTTCCCAGTTCTCGGTGTCTATGCCACAGTTTTTAAGGTTGGCTTTAAGCCCATCTTGAAATCTCTTTTCCTGTCCACAACATTGTATTTCCCATTCTTGAGTTGGGAGTATAGTAACTGCTTTGGGAGATGGTGATCAGTTCCTGGTCAAAGTGGTCCCTGGTCAAGTAGATTAGATTAGGCAATCCCTCATAGCCCAAAAATGATGGTCCTCCAAGTTCAGTGTCTTGGTGGTGAGTCTGTAGGTGTCTGTGTAGCTCTATTCTTGATCCGCATATTCTCCCACAGTGAGGGCATCTGTTTCCACGTGGAAAGTGGTCCCGATTAGGGTTGTCTTGACACATCTTCCTCTTGGCACGTTTCTCCCTTTCGCCCTCCATTCATGCCTCTTCAAATTCTGCAGCACTGCTGGTCACAGCTGACCTCCAGTTAGAATGCTCAAAGGCCAGGACTTCCCAGTTCTTGATGTCTATGCCTTCTTTAAAGGTTAGTTTTGAGCCCATCTTGAAATCTCTTTTCTTGTCCAGAACAATGCATTTCCCATTCTTGAGTTCGGAGAACTGCTTTTGGAGACGGTGATCAGTCCCTGGTCAAAACAAAAATTATTTATATATTTACTATATTTATATATCACTCCTCTTAGCCCAGAGGTGACTTGGAGCTGAGAGAACCACTGTTTTAGCCTCTGCATCTTAAAGAAATTGCTTCCAAGAGTCACAAAAATGCCACACACACACACACACACACACCCCTACCACCTCCAGAATCAGAATAGTTGCCGTACTGGATGGAACGCTTTAAACAATATTTGCAGAACTGCTGGACCTCTTCCCCTCCACAGCTACAATTCCCTTTTCCTTGTGTATTACGTCTTATTTAGATTGTAAGCCTGAGGGCAGGGAACTGTCAAATTAACAATTTGTAAACTGCTCCGAGAGCCTTTGTGGCTAAAGAGCGGGCTATAAATACTCTAAATTAATAAATACGACCGCATTTATATATAAGCTCGATAGAACGAGCATGTACGTGCACTTCTCCCCAAGTCAAGCGGTCAAGGAGATTTGGAGAAGTTGGACGCCTCGCCAAGAAACGCTCCCCTGCCTCTCCCGCCTCACAGCTTCCTTCGGCTCCTTTCATGTTTCCAAACACAAAAACGAATGCTACACTTGGCAGGAGCAAAAAAGTGAGATACAGATTGCATGAGGTGCCAATTAGAGTTAATTATGAAATGATTGAGCTGTACTTTATATAAAGCCAAAAAGGGAAAAAAATCTATAGGAAAAAAAGGGGGATGATGTAAGGCTTGGGGTATAATTTTATCATTACCGGTGTCCTTTTGCAAGAGTGCATTCTTGTGAAGAGATATTTGAAAGCGGGGGTCATCCTACTTCCCTTTCCGAGGGGTTATTTCTCTCAGTAAATGCTTAACATCTGATAGATGGGTTTATCTAAGTCTTCTTGCAGCTCCATTCAAAGCATAGAGTGCCTGAAGCTGATCCTTGCCATTTACAGAAATGCATTAAATAGATGATGATTGGGGGGGGGGGGGGGGAACTTTCTTCCATTCTGCCAAGAAGCAGGAAAATCACATTCGAAGCATCCCTGACAGATGGCCATCCAGCCTCTGTTTGAAAGCCTCCAAAGAAGGAGCTTCCACCACACTCTGGGCCCCATTGGAGACAGCCAATGGGATTTTGGCCTGCATAAATAGAAGTCTAGTGCTTACAAGGTTGAATGAAAAGTAATGCCTCCACCTTCGTTACTTGGTTTTGGATGGGAATATTTTAATAAATCAAATGCAGAAATAACCCTTAGAATGCTGCAAGTCGCTTCTGGTTGCTTCTGGATTGAGAGAATCAGCCATCTACAAAGATGTTGCCCAGGGGACGCCCAGATGTCTTGTAATCCTGCGAGGAGGCTTCTTTCATGTCCCCCTGGGCACACAGAAAACTGGGTGACTTGGAAGGCACTGCGCTCTGGCACCACGAGATGCAGAGCCAACCTTAAGACATGGGGATACAAAGTGGAATCCACGACATGCGAGTGTGGAGAAGAGCAAACCACTGACCACCTGCTGCAATGCAACCTGAGCCCAGCCGCATGCACAATGGAGGACCTCCTTGCGGCAACACCAGAGGCACTCCAAGTGGCCAGATACTGGTCAAAGGACATTTAATCAACTACCAAGCTTGCAAACTCTGTGTCTTTTGTATGTTTGTATGTTTGTTTGTTCTGTCAAAAATGTAATACAACTGTTCGGTTGCCTGACACGATAAATAAATAAAAATACCCTTAGAATGTGCTCTTTAACTACCACTATTCACTTTTCTGTTACACAGCACGTGTTTTATTCCAGTGACCTAACGCCCAAAAACCCAGACACAAAATAGTCTCAGACCAATAGTCAAGGTAAACAGAAAATCTTTACTCTCTTAACTTTGCAGAGATGAAACAAAACTGGCAATGCTTGCACATAAGAAACAGCAGTGCAACTTATTTACACAGTCTTTGTAATATGCATAAAATAAAGCATCTTCTAAGCAGCAAATGGAAAATCAAAAACAACCTGAAGTACCATATATACTCGAGTATAAACCGACCCAAATATAAGCCGAGGCACCTAATTTTACCACAAGAAACTTGGAAAATGTATTGACTCGAGTATAAGCCGAGGGTGAAAAATGCAGCTGCTACTGAAAGTCATCAGTAGGTTAAATGTTTTTGTGTATTTACAAAAAACTGTAATTTAAGATAAGACTATCCAACTCTGATGAAACCATTATTCTAATCTTCTTCAATGTCAATGTGCTTACGTCTGACTTGGCCACGGTGGTCCACGCTTTGGTTACATTCCGTTTAGACTACTGCAACGCTCTCTACGTGGGGTTGCCTCTGAAGACTGCCCGGAAGCTGCAGCAAGTCCAACGCTCGGCAGCCAGATTACTAACGGGTGCTGGGTACAGGGAGCACACCACTCCGCTGTTACACCAGCTCCACTGGCTGCCAATTAGCTTCTGAGCACAATTCAAAGTGCTGGTGTTAACCTATAAAGCCCTAAACGACTCCGGCCCTGTTTACCTCTCCGAACGTATTCTCCCCTATGAACCATCAAGATTATTAAGATCGTCTGGAGAGGCCCTGCTCTCGGTCCCACCAGCCTCGCAAGCACGTCTGGTGGGGACGAGGGACAGGGCCTTCTCGGTGGTGGCCCCTCGACTCTGGAACTCTCTCCCACTGGAGATCAGAACCGCCCCGTCTATCCTGACATTTAGGAAACAGGTGAAGACTTGGTTATGGAGACAGGCATTCGACGAGTGAGCCAACACCCTGAGATATGGATGGAGGATGATGAGCAACGATTTTAGTGTGACAACTGACCATTATAGTTATTGATTGTAATTGCTGTTTTAATGTTTTACTGTAATATGTATTATGATGTTTTATTGATTGTATGTGATATTATGGTTGTTAACCGGTCTGAGTCCCTCAAGAGAGGTGAGAAGGTCGGTATACAAAACTTTCAAATAAATAAATTATAAATACGTATCCTTCCAATAATAATGAGAGTAAAATAATAAATGTAATAATAATAATAATAACAATAGAATAAATAATGGAAATTTAATAACAGTAATAAGAGTAAAATAATAAATGTAATAATAATACATAGAGTAAAATAATAAATGTAATAAAATAATAGTATAGTAAAATAATATAAAGGTAATAATAATAATAAATAGAGTAAAATAATAAATGTAACAAAAATAATACTAATAACAGAGTAAAATAATAAATAACCTTGACTCGAGTATAAGCCTAGGAGCACTTTTTAAGCCTAAAAAAGAGGCTGAAAAACTAGGCTTATACTCAAGTATATACAGTAAATAGCTATTTCACCATCAGCATTTCCCGCTGGTACTCCACACTGGTGAAACAGAACTCCAGCAACAACACACCAGAAATCCAGCACCCACCACACTGTATTGAAAAACCTCAAACAGTTATAGCCCCTTAGGCATGGCACAAGATTGCTGCTTGACCAACTTAGGCAGCTGAACAAGATAATTACGAACAATAAGGTTTTTCTTCACACATATACTTGTGTCCTGCAAGGACTTACCATAACATAATCACCAGACAATTGGATACATTTCTGCCAACGATGAACAAGTTTTCTGAAGTCGTCACGGAAGAAGTCGACACTCTGTTTCCGCAACCAGCATCTCACAGTTCTCTCAACGTCTTCATCGGAAGCATAATGATGTCCCCACAGATCTTCTTTCATTATCGGGAACAGATGGAAGTCAGACGGCGCTAAATCTGGACTGTATGGAGGATGTTGTACGGTGGTGAGATCCAGACTCTGTAGTTCTGCTGTGTACCCATCGTGTACAGATCTTCCAATAGCCAAGCAAAGCAATAATGTGACCCACACGTTCTTGTGAAATGCCGATTATGCTTGAAATTTCTCTCTGAGTGATACAACCATCGTCCTGAATCAATCTGTCGACCTTTTGCTTGTGAAACTCGGTGGTTGCTGTCACAGGACGTCCAACTCTTTGTTTGTCATGCAAGTCAGATGTTCCCACCTCAACATCTTTAAACTTCCTTGCCCAATGACGGACAGTATTCACACCAACACAATCATCATAAACAGCTTGCATTCTCTGATGAATCTCCTTTGGGGTGACACCCTCTGCTGTCAAGAATTCAATGACTGCACGTTGCTTAAGTCACATTGACTGACTGTGCAGGGTTCCATACTTCACACTTTAACAACACAACCGTTCAATGTTAAGGCTTCCCACCAAAATGAAACTGTACAGTAGAGTCTACTGAACAAGCCAGTACCTGCTGCATACAAGTACTGCCATCTGTTGAGGAGTTACGAAGGTGGAGGCATTACTTTTCATTCAACCCTAGTAGATCCAGGGAAGAGATGCTGCCCCTCTCTTCTACCTTGGTCAGACCACACCTGGAATCACACTATTTCCAATTCTGGACTCCACAATTGAAGGGAGATGTTGACTCTAAGCTGGAATGTGTCCAGAGACTCAAAGGATCAAGGGTCTGAAGAACAAGCCCTATGAGGAGCGGCTTAAAGAGCTGGACATGTTTAGCCTGCAGAAGAGAAAGCTGAGAGGAGACGTGATGAGGGCCATGTATAAATATATGAGGGGAAGTCATAGGGAGGAGGGAGCAAGCTTGGAGACTGCCCTGGAGACTAGGATGCAATGGAACAATGGCTTCAAAATACAAGAAAGGAGATTCCATCTGAACATTAGAAAGAACTTTCTAATAGTGAGAACTGTTCAGCAGTGGAACTCTCTGCCCCAGAGTGTGATGGAGGCTCCTTCTATGGAGGCTTTTAAACAGAGGCTGGATGGCCATCTGTCTGAGGTGCTTTCAATGCAATTTTCCTGTTTCTTGGCAGAATGGGGTTGTACTGCATGGCCCATGAGGTCTCTTCCAACTCTATGAGTCTATGACATAGGAGACAACTTTTTCAATGGCTGCTCCCAAGCAGTTCTTCCATTGGGGTCCGTCATATAGCACCAGACTATATTGAATCAATGGCCTTGCTTAGGGTGAACTAGGTTCCTAAGCTCGTACAACCAATGGTTATGAATTGGGTTCTTTCCGTTGTAGAATACAGGAAACTGCTGTCTGAAATCGACGAAGGACTGGTGAAATCAGGAGACTCTTTCTACATCCGCTTGAATCTGAGCATCTCCAGTCAATTGGACTGCTGCTCCCTCTCAGTAAACTGTGATGAGATCCTTCATGTCCTCGACACCATGTACCAAGGGAAGTGTGAATGGCTTTGTGCCCGAGTTGACCCCTTCACTGACAGGGATGGGGATACGGGGACCATCCCCAATGGCAGCAGGTGAGCAAAGTATAAACCTCCTCATCCCCAAACACTTACAAATCCAAGTATATTTGATGTAGGAATGGTTGGTGTCTATACTAAACAGAGAGAGTAAACAGAGAGAGTATAGTGCCTTGAGTGTTAAATGAAGATGCCAGGAGATGATGGTTAGATCAAGACACCAGGTGACCAGGGTTAGATCAAGACACCAAAAGACAAAGGTTAGATCAAAACATCAGTTGACCAGGGTTAGATCAAGACATCAGGAGACCAGGTTTAGATTAAGACACGAGGAGACCATGGTTAGATCAAGACACCAAGAGACCAAGATTAGATCAAGACACCAGGAGATCAGGGTTACATCAAGACACCAAGTGACCAAGGTTAGATCAAGACACCAAGTGACCAGGGTTAGATAAAGACACCTAGAGACCAGGGTTAGATCAAGACACCAAGAGACCAAGATTAGATCAAGACACCAGAAGATCAGGGTTACATCAAGACATCAGGACACCAGGGTTAGGTCAAGACATCATGAGACCAGGGTTGAATCAATACATCAGGAGATCAGGGTTGGATTAAGGCAGCAAGAGGTCAGGGTTAGATCAAGACACCAGGAAACCAGGGTTAGATCAAGACATCAGGAGGCCAGGGTTAGATTAAGACATGAAGGGACCAAGGTTAGATCAAGACACCAAGTGACCAGGGTTAGATCAAGACACCAAGAGACCAAGGTTAGATCAAGACACCAAGTGACCAAGGTTAGATCAAGACACCAAGTGACCAGGGTTAGATAAAGACACCTAGAGACCAGGGTTAGATCAAGACACCAAGAGACCAAGATTAGATCAAGACACCAGAAGATCAGGGTTACATCAAGACATCAGGACACCAGGGTTAGGTCAAGACATCATGAGACCAATCAATACATCAAGAGATCAGGGTTGGATCAATACATTAGGAGATCAGGGTTGGATTAAGGCAGCAAGAGATCAGGTTTAGATAACAACACAACACCAAGAGACCAAGGTTAGATCAAGACACCAAGAGACTAGGGTTAGTTCAAGACACCAGGTTATCAGGGTTAGATCAAGACACCAAGAGACCAAAGTTAGATCAAGACACCAGGTGACCAGGGTTAGATCAAGACACCAGGAAACCAGGGTTAGATCAAGACATCAGGAGACCAGGGTTAGATTAAGACATGAGGAGACCATGGTTAGATCAAGACACCAAGAAACCAAGATTAGATCAAGACACCAGGAGATCAGGGTTACATCAAGACATCAGGACACCAGGGTTAGGTCAAGACATCATGAGACCAATCAATACATCAAGAGATCAGGGTTGGATCAATACATCAGGAGATCAGGGTTGGATTAAGGCAGCAAGAGGTCAGGGTTAGATCAAGACACCAAGAGACCAATGTTAGATCAAGACACCAGGAAACCAGGGTTAGATCAAGACATCAGGAGACCAGGGTTAGATTAAGACATCAGGAGACCAGGGTTAGATTAAGACATGAGGGGACCAAGGTTAGATCAAGACACCAAGTGACCAGGGTTAGATCAAGACATCAAGAGACCAGGATTAGATCAAGACACCAAGTGACCAAGGTTAGATCAAGAAACCAAGTGACCAGGGGTATTCTGGGAGTTGGAGGCCAAAACAGCCAGAGGACTTCAAGTTGTGCAGGGCCGCTCTAGGCTCTCCATTCCCAGTAATCACTTTATACATGTGTTGATGCATTTTGGCTCCCAACATATGATGCTTCAAATTGAACCAAACTGAGCAGTTTCATTGACAAGCGCTTTTGTGAGCTCTTGCCTTCTTCATCAGATGTAAGATGCCTTTAGCACTGAAACAGTGCTTCGCTGTTCACTGAAATAGTACTTGTCTGGTAGCATCTCCCAGAATCCTTCCAGTTTCAAAGAACAGCATTCAGAGCACTATGATTCCACTTTAACTGCTATGGCAACATACTATGGAATTATGGGGTTTGCTGTTTAGGAGGGAGGTTTTCAGAATGCTTAACCTAGTGGTTCTCAACCTGTGGGTCCCCAGATGTTTTGGCCTTCAACTGCCAGAAATCCTAACAGTTGATAAACTGGCTGGGATTTCTGGGAGTTATAGACCAAAACACCTGGGGATTGACAGGTTGAGAACTTCTGGCTTAACCAGAGAACTGTAGTGCCTCACCAAACCATAAAGCTGAAGATCCCATAAGATGTTGACATGACACTTAAAACCGAATCATAGTTTCGTAAGATCTTAAATCAATGGCCCTCAACCTTTTTTGACCAGGGACCACTCTCCAACATTAATACCAAAAGGGTTACGAATCCGTTTTTGGTCAACTTTAGATTCAGTTTGGTTATTTGGGGTGCTGATTAAAAACATTGCATTGGATAGACCATATCAGCTCTAGTTTCTGATACAGAACATATGCCATCCAGTAGTCGCCATCTGCTCAGCTACAGAAAAACATTTTTCATAATCTAGAGCTGACGTGGTCTAGAGCTACAGACCTTATTTTAGTTCTTGCAGCTCACCAGTGGTCCATGGTCCACAGATTGGGAACCACTGAGAACAAGCCCTATGAGGAGTGGCTTAAGGAGCTGGGCATGTTTAGCCTGAAGAAGAGAAGGCTGAGAGAAGATATGATAGCCATGTATAAATATGTGAGAGGAAGCCACAGGGAGGAGGGAGCAAGCTTGTTTTCTGCTTCCCTGGAGACTAGGACGCGGAACAATGGCTTCAAACTACAAGAGAGGAGATTCCATCTGAACATGAGGAAGAACTTCCTGACTGTGAGAGCCGTTCAGCAGTGGAACTCTCTGCCCCGGAGTGTGGTGGAGGCTCCTTCTTTGGAAGCTTTTAAACAGAGGCTGGATGGCCATCTGTCAGGGGTGTTTTGAATGCAATATTCCTGCTTCTTGGCAGAATGGGGTTGGACTGCATGGCCCATGAGGTCTCTTCCAACTCTTTGATTCTATGCTTCTATGATTCACTGTCTTTAATAGAGTCCTGGATTTTAAAATACTTTTGATTAGGAGTGGAAATGATGTGGCCTTCTAGATGTTCTTAAACTGCAACTCCCAGCATTCCTCCCTATTTAGAAATGCCTCTAGAACATGGCTCTATAGCCCGAAAAAAACCCACAAGAACCTATTCCTCCCTATTGACTAGGTAAGCCATGCCTGATGGGAGTCGCAATCCAACAATATCTGGAGAGCCATGTATTTTCACTCTGCAGACTGTAATTAAAAACTTGTCATATATTATATTTTTCATAGAATGCAAGCTATTCAGAGAACTCATGGAGATGGAGCGAAATACAAATAAAGCATTATTATTATTGTTATTATTATTATTATTATGGAGCCCCCGATGGCGCAGTGGGTTAAACCCCTGTGCCGGCAGGACTGAAGACTGACAGGTCACAGGTTCGAATCCGGGGAGAGGCGGATGAGCTCCCTCTATCAGCTCCAGCTCCTCATGCGGGGACATGAGAGAAGCCTCCCACAAGGATGATAAAAGCATCAAATCATCCGGGCATCCCCTGGGCAACATCCTTGCAGGCGGCCAATTCTCTCACACCAGAAGTGACTTGCAGTTTCTCAAGTCACTCCTGACACGACAAAAAATTATTATTATTATTATTATTATTAGCTGTCCCCTGCCACATGTTGCTGTGGCCCAGACTGTGTATATGAGTATATGTGTGTTTGCATATATTTCTGTGGTTTTGCACATGCGTTGTAATGTAATTTTTGTTTATTGGCTTTTTAAGTCTTTTCTGTTGTGTTTTTCAGTGTTTTTATGAGTGATAGTCACTCGTTGGCCTGATAGGTATATTTTGTCCAAATTTGGTGTCAATTCGTCCAGTGGTTTTTGAGTTATGTTCATCTCACAAATGAACATAACATTTTTATTTATATATAATAGCCATCCCCTGCCACACGTTGCTGTGGCCCAGTCTGTGTATATGTGTTTTGTGTGTATATATTTGTGTATTTGTGTATGTTTGCGTATATATGTGTGGTTTTGTGCATGTGTTATAATGTATGTATGTATGTATGTATGTATATATATATATATATATATATATATATATATATGGCTTTTTAAGCCCCTCCTGCTGTGTTTTTCAGTGTTTGTATGAGTGATGGTCACTTGTTGGCCTGAGAGGTGTCTTGTGTCCAAACTTGGTGTCAGTTCGTCCAGTGGTTTTTGAGTTATCTTAATCCCACAAATGGACATTACATTTTATTTATATAGATTATTAGAATCATAGAATCAAATCAAAGAGTTGGAAGAGACCTCATGGGTCATCCAGTCCAACCAGATTCTGCCAAGAAGCAGGAATATTGCATTCAAAGCACCCCTGACAGATGGCCATCCAGCCTCTGTTTAAAAGCTTCCAAAGAAGGAACCTCCACCACACTCTGGGGCAGAGAGTTCCACTTCTGAACGGCTCTCACAGTCAGGAAGTTCTTCCTCATGTTCAGATGGAATCTCCTCTCTTGTAGTTTGGAGATTCCATCTGAACATGAGGAAGAACTTCCTGACTTATTATTATTATTATTACTAGCCATCCCTTGCCACACATTGCTGTGGCCCACATGGTGGTCATGGGGGTTCTGTGTGGGAGGTTTGGCCCAATTCTATCATTGGTGGGGTTCAGAATGCTCTGTGATTGTAGGTGAACTACAAATCCCAGCAGCTACAACTCCCAAATGTCAAGATTCTATTTTCCCCAAACTCCACCAGTGTTCACATTTGGGCATATTGAGTATCCATGTAGAGTTTGGTCCAGTGCTCTCTGGATGTAGGTGAACTACAACTCCAAAAACAAAGGACACTGCCCACCAAACCCTCCCAGTATTTTCTATTCGTCATGGGAGAACTGTGTGCCAAGTTTGGTTCAATTCAATCGTTGGTGGGGTTCAGAATGCTCTGTGATTGTAGGTGAACTATAAATCCCAGCAACTACAACTCCCAAATGACAAAATCGTTTTTTTGAGTGAAGGACATACATTGGGTTGTTTGGTGTCTTGTGTCCAAATTTGGTGTCAATTCGTCCAGGGGTTTTTGAGTTCTGTTAATCCCACAAACGAACATTGCATTTTTATTTATATTGATTATTATTAATATTATTGTTAATATTATTATTAACTTTGATTACTAGGCAATTTAAAAACACAATAAGCAAACAACCAAATATCCCTACTGATCTTGAGTTGCCAATGCTGGGCTTTGAATACCACAGTGTCTGCTCTCTAAATTGTTGTAAATCTGGAACTGAGTTGGCACCGTGTTTATGAATATAAATCAACATATTTCTCACTTCGAGGGCTAACTCTAGGGAATATCTCATCCTCATCTCCTCCCCGTAGTCCCCCTTGCAGGGCGATAGTAAGAAAGACAGCATTTGTGAAGCACTTTCGACTATTTAGAAAGCAACTTACAAATACCAGAAATACCAGAAATAAATGTCATGCAGTAGTACAAAACCCAGGCATGGACTAATATCAAATTATCGTGTTGTTGTAGGTTTTTTCGGGCTATATGGCCATGTTCTAGAGGCATACTCTCCTGATGTTTTGCCTGCATCTATGGCAAGCATCCTCAGAGATAGTGAGGATGCTTGCCATAGATGCAGGCGAAACGTCAGGAGAGAATGCCTCTAGAACATGGCCATATAGCCCGAAAAAACCTACAACAACCCAGTGATTCCGGCCATGAAAGTCTTCGACAATATATCAAATTATCGTTCAAGAATGAAGAGGCAAATCTGCAGGTAGAACTGTAATTATTCCAAAAGTTTGGGGCTGAGGCTGGGAGAAAAACCTTGGGAAATATGTGTGATTATCAGGGGTAAAGAAAGGATGAATGTGCTTGCCATGAGCATCGATCCCTCTTCTGAACTGCCTCCAGCTTTTTGGGATGGGGAAAAAATATTGAATGTCTCCAGCCTAAACAATTAGGAGACAATGATGTGCAGTCAAGACTGCCTTTCCTTTACTGGACTTCTTCATGCTACTATTTTTTCTTGATTTACTCGATGGTTGATGCCCTGAATTTGCACAGACTTCCAAATCTTTGTTTGTAGAGCCCAACAGCTCCTCCTAGTGAAGTTGCAACGGCTGATGAACAAAGGAAACCGGGATGAGATGGACAATTCGTACGGTACGCTCCGAACGTCGCGGGTAAGTCGTGCCTTTGAGATCCATCATCTTGCTTAAGTTGGGTGCTGCTTCTCCTAATCTTTTTCCTCCTTTCATTTTCTATGAATGCACTGTTCTCTGCAATATTTCAGTTGGTTAATATGATAGGAAAGCTTCAGAATGCACGATTTCTGCCCATGCATTTTCCCACCAAAAATTGCAGAATTCAACTCATAGTTTGGAATGTGTTGCTGTTAATTGTTGTCAAATCAACCTCAACCTATGGCAGTGGTTCTCAACCTTCCTAATGCCGCGACCCCTTAACACAGTTCCTCGTGTTGTGGTGACCCCCAACCATAACATTATTTTCGTTGTTGCTTCACAACTGTAATTTTGCTACTGTTATGAATTGCCATGCAAGTATCCAATATGCAGGATGTATTTCCATTCACTGGACCAAATTTGGCACAAATACCCGATACACCCAAATTTGAATACTAGTGGGGTTGAGCAGGGGGTTGCTTTTTTTCAATTGGGAGTTCTAGTTGCTGGGATTTATAGTTCATCTACAATCAAAGAGCATTCTGAACTCCACTAATGATCAAATTGAACCAAACTTGGCACACAGAACTCCCATGACCAACAGAAAATACTGGAAGGGTTTGGTGGGCATTGTCCTTGAGTTTGGGGTTGTAGTTCACCTACATCCAGAGAGCACTGTGGACTCAAACAATGATGGATCTGAAGTAAACTTGGCACGAATACTCAATATGCCCAAATGTATACACTGGTGGTGTTTGGGGAAAATAGACCTTGACATTTGGGAGTTGTAGTTGCTTGAATTTATAGTTCACCTACAGTCAAAGAGCATTCTGAATCCCACCAATGATAGAATCAGCCAAACTTCCCACACAGAACCCCCATGACTAACAGAAAATACAGTGTTTTCTGATGGTCTTTGGTGACCCCTTTGACACCCCATCGTGACCCCCCCAGGGGTCCTGACCCCCAGGTTGAGAACCACTGACCTATGGGATCCTATGAATGACAGACCTCTATGTCTCCCTGCTCTTGACAGATCTTCCAAGGTCTTGCCAACAGAGAACTGTGAATTTGCAAGACTTCAGTAGGGCTTAGTTAAACATAGATTGGAAATACAAACTGTGTATTAATGAAGTCTGTAAATCAGTGGCAGAGCCCTTGAAGAAGTTCCTATCTTCAATCCGTAATGGTAGTAATGAATATGTATATGAGGTTTCATGTCACATGAATTTCAGAGGATAGTACAAGGGTTACCTGGAAAGTAAGATTACAAGGCAAGTAGCGCTCATGGGGAACTTTCGCAGGCAAAGTTGGTATCATTGCCATGTAGGGGGAAGCCATCAAAAGTAAACGAGCAGTGCCAGTTGTCAGTAGCTCATCAACTGGCGTTGTGGTGAAGGTTGGAGATTAGCGTCCTCATTCCATTTTCCTCCAAGTGCAACATTCACACTGTAATACGCTACCTAAATGCTAAGAGGAACTTCCGCAGGGGGAAGTTGGTATCATTGCCATGTAGGGGGAAGCCAGAGGAAGTGAACGAGCAGTGCCAGTCGTCAGTAGCTCATCAACTGGCATTGTGGTGAAGGTTGGAGATGAGCATCCTCATTTCATTTTCCTCCAAGTGCAACATTCACGCTGTAATACGCTACCTAAATGCTAAGAGGAACTTTCACAGGCAAAGTTGGTATCATTGCCATGTAGGGGAAAGCCAGCGGAAGTGAACGAGCAGTGCCAGTTATCAGTAGCTCATCAACTGGCATTGTGGTGAAGGTTGGAGATGAGCATCCTCATTCCATTTTCCTCCAAGTGCCACATTCACTTACCTAAATGCTAAGAGGAATTTTTGCAGGGGGAAGTTGGTATCATTGCCATGTAGGGGGAAGCCAGAGGAAGTGAATGAGCAGTTCCAGTCATCAGTAGCTCATCAACTGGCATTGTGGTGAAGGTTGGAGATGAGCGTCCCCATTCCATTTTCCTCCAAGTGCAACATTCACACTGTAATATGCTACCTAAATGCTAAGAGGAACTTTCGCAGGGGGAAGTTGGTATCATTACCATGTAGGGGGAAGCCAGAGGAAGTGAACAAGCAGTGCCAGTCGTCAGTAGCTCATCAACTGGCATTGTGGTGAAGCTTGGAGATGAGTATCCTTATTCCATTTTCCTCCAAGTGCAACATTCACACTGTAATACACTACCTAAATGCTAAGGGCATCAACACCGTTGCGATTCAACGCAAAATCATTTCAGTTTATGGAGAGAACATAATATCAAGATAGCATGTGACAAAATGGGTACAGAATATATTATGAGACCATAAAGAAATTTTGCAGAGCCATCCAAAACAAATGTCGTGGGATGCTGATGGTGGTAGTCTGTCTCCTTCATGTCAATGCGCTTCCACACACCACTCACACAACACTAAAGTTGTTGACTTCCTTTGATTGGGATGTTTTAAGCCCCCCTCTCACAGCCCTGATTCCGCACCCAGTGACTATCATCTGTTCATGAAATTGAAGGAACACATAGGTGGAAAACACTTTTCTGACAATGACAAGGTGAAAATCAAAGTGATGAACTGGCTGAAAAAGGCGGAGGGAAACTTCTATGACACAGGCATCAAACACTCATCCTACGCATGACAAAATGTATTGAACTGAATGGTGATTATGTGGAAAAAATATTGTAATACCTATGCTACAATCCTTTTAAGTTTTATTAAAATATATTCATTCTTTATATTTAAAAAAAATCTTGCAACCTTACTCTCCGGATATCCCTCGTAGCTTTATTTATATCCATCTTTCTCTCAACTTAAAACATATACAACATGATTTAAATTATATTAAACTTGGAGCCCTCGGTGGCGCAGTAGGTTAAGCCACTGAGCTGCTAAACTTGCTGACCAAAAGGTTGGTGGTTCAGATCTTGAGAGCAGGATGAGCTCCCACTGTTAGCCCCAGCTTCTGCCAACCTAGCAGTTCGAAAACATGCAAATGTGAATAAATACATACCACTCTGACGGGAAGTTAACGGCACTCCATGCAGACATGCTGGCCACATGACCTTGGAGGTGTCTACGGACAATGCCAGCTCTTTGGCTTAGAAATGGAGATGAGCACCAACCCCAAGAGTTGGACACAACTGGACTTAATGTCAGGGGAAAGCCTTTACTTTACTATGAATGGACTCGGTTGTAACTGAGTCTGCTTAGACAAAAAAGCTGTATTCAACAAGTTTGCACACTGTTTTCTCCTGAAATATGTTTCCCTTCTGCCAGAATACACTGCAGCCGGAAGATCACACGCCACCGAGCGACGCTAAAACCAGTCCCCGCCTTTCCCGAGCCAGCTTCCTTTTAGGGCAGATTCTACAGGTAAAAAAAAGAAAGAAAGAAACACGTTGAAATGTTACCTTTTGTCGGCATGCACAGTTTTGGCTGGCTTTCCCTTGCATTAGTCTCACTTTGTCTCTCCTTTTGCAAGTCATGTTTCTCCCATCTGTGCCAACTGCAGGGTTCGTTGGAGCTGTGGAAAGCACTGAAACCACATTTGGGGTTATCAAAAAAGCCAAGTTAGTTGATAGCATATAGTACCAGGGTCTCAAGCTGATAATCCTGCCAGTGGGATGCAGGTGTTGTTGCCTTCTGCACTGCTGTTCTGCCACTTACCCATGGAAGCAATGGCCGGCTTGTTATTTGCTATGTTTTGGCACCACCAAAGTGGCTGGTCAGAGAATGGCACTGCATGCACCAGCTTAGCAGAGGCTGGTGAGGTCCTATTTACACACAGTTGCATCCCTTGAATGCCACAGTGAATTTGTTCCAAGTTGAGTCTGAATTTTGAAGGATCTTTCTAAGATGCCCAAGCCCTGGTTCCCAAAATAGGTTCAGGATTTTAGAAATCAGAAAACCAGAATGAGACGTTAGGAGCGGTTTCTTGACTGTGCACACTGTTTGGCAGTGGCATGGAGTGTCTCAGAGTGTTGGGGTCTTCAGTCTTTGGAAATTGGGTCAGCATCTTTCAGGAGTGCTTTAGTTATATATTCCAGTATAGCAGAGATTTGGGCTAGATGGCCTTTCTGGTCCCTTCTAACTTTAGTTACACTTCTACAATTGACATAAGGAAAGGCGTCTATGGATGGCAGGCTCCTCAGCGTGGAAAATGAAACAGCAGCACCTCCCCATGGCGGAGCTGAGCACAGCCAGATGCCGGAGATGAAAAACTAGAAGTCTTGCCTTTGTTTATGTACTGTTTGTCTTTGTCAATTGTATAACGGCATTGAATGTTTGCCATATATGTACCTGTACTCCGCTTTGAGTCCCCTCAGGGAGATAGAGCAGAATATAAATAAAGTATTGTCGATGTATTGTCGAAGGCATCCATGGCCGGAATCACTGGGTTGTTGTAGGTTTTTCCGGGCTATATGGCCATGTTCTAGAGGCATTTTCTCCTGACGTTTCACCTGCATCTGTGGCAAGCATTCTCAGAGCTAGTGAAGTCTGTTGGAAGTAGGAAAATGGGTTTATATATCTGTGGAATGACCAGGGTGGGACAAAGGACTTTTGTCTGCTGCAATAAATAAAGTTTATTATTATTATTATTATTATTATTATTATTATTGGGTTGTTCTAGGTTTTTTCGGGCTATATGGCCATGTTCTAGAGGCATTCTCTCCTGACGTTTCGTCTGCATCTATGGCAAGCATCCTCAGAGGTCGTGAGGTCAGACCTCACGACCTCTGAGGATGCTTGCCATAGATGCAGGCGAAACGTCAGGAGAGAATGCCTCTAGAACATGGCCATATAGCCTGAAAAAACCTACAACAACCCAGTGATTCCGGCCATGAAAGCCTTCGACAATACAATATCTCAAGAGCTAGAAGTTTGCAATATCTCAAGAGCTAGAAGTCCTTTGACAATACATTATTATTTGAAAGATCACAAGATGAGTCCACAGCAGACATTCTGCTGCCTGTTGAATTGGATCACACGCCTGACCCTTCCCAAGTGTCTAGGACTGTGTGATGTATCGGCGAATAATGCATGCAGATCCCAGTAAGGTGGCCTTTTGCGGCTAGCAGATGGTAATTTTGTCAGCGCCGATTGTGTTTACGTGCAGGCCAAGGTCTTTAGGCACTGCACCCAGTGTGCCAATCACCACTGGGACCACCTTGACTGGCTTGTGCCAGAGTCTTTGCAGTTCCATCTTTAAATCCTCATATCATGTCAGCTTTTCCAGTTATTTCTCTTCAATCCTGCTGTCACTTGGGATTGCAACATCGACAATCCATACTTTGTTTTTTAACACGATTGTGAGGTCAGGAGTGTTGTGCTCCAAAACTCTGTCTGTCTGAATTTGGAAGTCCCAGAGGAGTTTGACGTGTTCATTTTCTGTAACCTTTTCAGGCTTGCAATCCCACCAGTTCCTTGTTGCAGGCAGATAGTGTTTGTGGCACAAGTTCCAATCCATCATAAGAGTAAGGGTGTTATGCCTCTCCTTGTAGTCTGTCTGTGCAATCTTCTTGCAGCAGCTGAAATAATGAACCCCCGGTGGTGCAGTGGGTTAAACCCCTGTGCCGGCAGGACTGAAGACCGACAGGTCGCAGGTTCAAATCCGGGGAGAGGTGGATGAGCTCCCTCTATCAGCTCCAGCTCCTCATACGGGGACATGAGAGAAGCCTCCCACAAGGATAATTAAAACATCAAAAATCATCCGGGCATCCTTGCAGATGACCAATTCTCTCACACCAGAAGCAACTTGCGGTTTCTCAAGTCGCCCCTGACATGACTAAAAAAAAAGCTGAAATAATAATTTATTATTAATAATAATAATTACTACTACTAATAATAATAATAAAAACCAGTGCCAGTAAACATTGTTACCCACTACAATGTGCATTGCATCTCACTGGGTTGTCTACAACTCTTTCCTTTTTGTCAAGATCCATCAAGGATCTGACTGCAGATTTATTATCGTGTACAATGTGAGTCAGGACACAGGCAAACACAGATAGGTCCGAAGTTGTATGCTAAAGGTCATGTTCCAGATCAACAATTGAAATAAATTCAGAAAACCTACAGCAAGTTGCATGATTCAAACAAGCCAAAAGAGGTCACGTCCAAACAGCAGTTGTGTAGTGGGATGGACTCAGGGATTTCTTCCTTCTTGGATGCATTTCCAGTGAGATGGGCTGCTCTCCTTGAAAAGTCCTAGTCTCAAAGCTCCCCTTGACAAGGCCTTTGCCTACTCTCAGTTTGTCAGCAGGTCGGAAAACAAGTACAAGCGAATGAACAGCAACGAACGCGTCCGCATTGTCACCTCGAAAGACACCCGTTCCAGATCAGAGGTCCAGCCGGTGACCAAGGCCATGATTGACAGATTTGAAGGTATGGCATGACATTTCATACTCTGCCTCAGAAGGGCGCAGAAAAATGATCTATGAGCACTAGTGCTGGTCTGGGATTGCTATGAGTAATTGCCACCAAGGGCAATGAGTAGACTGCATTGGCCTCAAATCTTCCCAAATGGTCCATTGAATCAATAGGAATATGAATAAGGGTTTCTTCTATTTCATGCAGCTTACTTCCTTAGGCGATCCCTCGTTGTCCAAGTAGGATTGTCTTCCAAGATTGGTGTACTGGTGGTGGGTGACTGTGGAGCCCTATTCTTGTTTACCTGCAGCAAGGGCATTGGTTTCCAGGTAGAAAGGCGGTCCTGGTCAGGGTTGGCTTGACAAGCCTTCCTCTTAGCACATTTCTCTCTTTTGCCCTTCATTCGTATCTCTTCAAATTCTACAGCACTGCTGGTCACAGCTGACCTCCAGCTGGAGCACTCGAAATATGCACCATTAGACAGCTCAAGACATCTTTTACCCAGTCCTTATATACCTCAAGCTTGCAGATACCTGTTTTCTAGATTGGTCGATATATTTGTCTTTCTTGAGATGATGAAATTGTCTGAAGAATCTAGCCCTCTCTTTGGCCTTTCCTATGCAACCAGGTTTGGGGAAACAGGTGCTAGTTCTGTACCTGAGTACATCTCATAATGATGACAGTGGTGATATGTGAGAGGAAGTCACAGAGAGGAGGGAGCAAGCTTGTTTTTTGCTTCCCTGGAGACTAGGACACGGAACAATGGCTTCAAACTACAAGAAAGAAGATTCCACCTGAACATGAGGAAGAACTTCCTGACTGTGAGAGCCATTCAGCAGTGGAACTCTCTGCCCCAGAGTGTGGTGGAGGCTCCTTCTTTGGAGGCTTTTAAACAGAGGCTGGATGGCCATCTGTCAGGGGTGCTTTGAATGCAATATTCCTGCTTCTTGGCAGAATGGGGTTGGACTGGATGGCCCATGAGGTCTCTTCCAACTCTTTGATTCTATGATTCTATGTGATGATATTGATTATTGTATTTCTTATCTGCCTCTCTTCACAGCATGAGGCAGAGCACAACATAGTGAAAAACACACCATCATGTCTTTTTTCCAGAGTTTGATTCTGTAACGGAGATCAATAAGAGTTTCAGCTTGGTGCCGTATAGCTCGGTGCGCCCCGTCCATTGTGACCGCCGGCGACCCGTCCTCTTCAGCCCCACGATGCTTTCCAAGACCTTCATTCAGAAGCTGCTCAATGCTGGAGGAGCCCTGGAATTCAATTTGTGCAAACCAGGTAAATCTCATCTATAGCCTGCCTGGTCCTAAGAGAACTCACAGCTGTCTTCATTTGGGGCAGGAGTTGAATGTGTGGATTTGTGAAATTCCTGAGTAACAAGAAACCAATGTGCAGTTGATCCACTGCTAAAACCCTCAGTGTGAGAGATGTGGCCTTTGACCTGTGGGGTCCCGCAAAGTTCATTCTACCCCCCCCCCTCAAAAAAAATTTCAGGTTAAAAAAACCTGGTTTACTCATAAATTTTAACTGGTTAACCAAATCCCCATGCTAAGTCTGTGAGACGCAAAAAAATAAGAGTCCCTCCAGAACTGCAAGCACTATCTCAAGCAAATATTGACAGTTTATTGACGCTGTCATTATTTGCAGCAATAGCCGATGTAGTCAAGCAACCAAGTTGGGGGGGGGGGGTGTTGAATGCTCTCATTAAGGAGGCCAGACTTGGTGGAGGTGGTTGACAGGGGCGGAGCTGCAGGCTATTGAAGGCTGCTCTGCCCCCTGCTGTGCTCTTTGCTTCAGCGTGAGCTAAGAGGCAGGTTTCAACCCCCCCCCCTGAAATTTTCAACCCCCCCCCCCCGAAATTTTCAACTCCTCCCAAAAAAGATTTCTGGCTACAGCCCTGGGCCTTCGCACAGTTAAAGTATGGACAGCTGCAGCCATACCTCAAGAAACCGGACTTGGCCATGGTGGCCCATGCCTTAGTTACATCAAGACTGGATTACTGTAATGCACTCTGTGTGGGGCTGCCTTTGAAGATGGCTCAGAAATTGCAATTGGTCCAAAGATCTGCAGCCAGGCTACTAACTGGAGCCAGCTATAGGGAGCACATGATGCTCCTACTAAAGCAGCTCCATTGGCTGCTAATAAATTTCTGGTCCCAATTTAAAGTGCTAGTTATCACCTATAAAGCCCTAACAACTCGGGTCCTGTCTATCTTTGTGACTGCATTCCCTCCTATGAATCATAGAATCATAGAATCAAAGAGTTGGAAGAGACCTCATGGGTCATCCAGTCCAAGCCCATTCTGCCAAGAAGCAGGAATATTGCATTCAAATCACCAACACGGGCTCTCTTCTGGTCCCAAGCATTTTGGATGAAGGATGCCAACCCTCTAATGGTACATTGCCTAAGGAACTCCTATGAAATTCAGGACATCATCATAAGTCAACAGGCAACTTAGAAGCATATACACAGAGAGTCTAACTGGTAGTATTCCTGCATGCTGAAAGACAGGAGACTGCTAATGGCTTCATGCTGGGGAAAGAGTCAGGAGTTGTCCATGATCTCTCTACTCTATGGACTTCCCATCGCTGCTTCTGGAGGACAAAACTATCGTTGGCATGATGCACAGCGAGGCTGTTCCTCCATCGTTATTATGCTCTTTTATGCGTATGCGACGGTAGACGTTGCAGCAGATCTTGCACACTTCGTTGTTGAAGAAGAGCCTGACAGTGCAACGCAGGCTGGCAATTACAGAGACGTCAGTTATTCTCCTATCCTGGCACTTCATATGTTGTTTCTTGAAATAGGTCATGCTCAAGTTCACCAGATTTAACTAGCTGGAGGATAAACATGCCGCCGGCTCCGTTCCCTGCCAGCTAAAGCCTGGGGATTGTAAATCTGAAGATAATAACGGTAGCCATCATTTCTTCTACACCTTTGATGTCCTCTGACCTCTTCAGCCCACTCAGTCCCATCCCTGTCCATCCCGCACTCATTCTTGACTTGGGTTGGATTAAACTTGCCAGATCATGGCGGCAGGATGGACTTAATCTACTTCATTATGGCTAATCTGTTGCTGTAAGTGAATGGTTGGGTCTGGGATCATGAAACAATGGAATAGCATTGAAAGGAAAGGGATTACAAGACATTATAGGTCTTTTAGTGTGAGAATTGATCAGTAGAGTTGCCTTAAGGAGTGGTGGCCTCTCTGCCTATGGAGACCTTTAAACAGAAGTTGGATGGGAGTGCTGTCTTGCCATCTCCATGCCATCTCTATGCAGTCATGCCAGCCACATGATCTTGGAGGTGTCTATGGACAACGCCAGCTCTTCAGCTTAGAAATGGAGATGAGCACCAACCCCCAGAGTCAGATGCAACTAGACTTAATGTCAGGAGAATACCTTTACTGGATGAGAGTGTTGTAGTCGTGGTAAGCATTTGGACTAGATAGTAGGCATAGAATCATAGAATCAAAGAGTGTGCCAAGAAGAACAGACTTGGATCCAAAAAGGGAGCAAAGTCTTACAAACTCCCCTCTCTTCTTGCTTTTCCTCCCTCAACAGCTATTTGCCTTTTAATAAAAATATCAACAACATATCTCAGCTTGGCAAAATTACTTTTTTAGAGTCCAGCTTCACAGCCTCACAGCCAAACATCTTGGTAGCTTTGGGGTTCTGGGAATTATAGTGCAAAAAAAAGTACTTTTCCAAGTTGTGACTGAATAGGTACTTTTATTCCAACATACCTTTTGACTTTTTAAGAGGAAACAAGGCTTGTATAGTGGGCTGGTTTTAATTAAATGCTACAAGAGAGTTGTGCACTAAATACCATTCATTCCAAGAAAAGTGTTATACATTGAATGCACGGAATATTTATTTATTCATCATATTTATATCCCACTCTTCTCACCCTGAAGGGGACTCAGAGCAGCCTTACAATAGGCAACAATTCGATGCCATAAAACATTAAACAGATGTATAGTAAAAAACGGATACATTAAAACATAAGATTTAAAAGCACAAAAATAATTAAACCAATTATTAGCAAGAACCACACAATCTGAAATCTTAATCAAAGAGCCATTCCAGTCATGATTGCAGATATTCCATCTTCACTTAGAATCATAGAGTCAAAGAGTTGGAAGAGACCTCATGGGCCGTCCAGTCCAACCCCATTCTGCCAAGAAGCAGGAATACTGCATTCAAATCACCCCTGACAGATGGCCATCCAGCCCCTGTTTAAAAGCTTCCAAAGAAGGAGCCTCCACCACACTCTGGGGCAGAGAGTTCCACTGCTGAACGGCTCTCACAGTCAGGAAGTTCTTCCTCATGTTCAGATGGAATCTCCTCTCTTGTAGTTTGAAGCCATTGTTCCTTGTCCTAATAAATAATAATAATAATACTTTATTTGTACCCTGCTACCATCTCCCCAAGGGACTCAGTGCGGCTTATATAAGCCCGAGCCCAAACACAACAATACAAGCAATAATCACAACAATACAAGCAATTAAAATAAGAACATAAACAATAAACATATATTGTCGAAGGCTTTCATAGGTTTTTCCGGGCTATATGGCCATGTTCTGGAGGCAATTTTTCTCCTGATGTTTCGCCTGCATCTATGCATCTATGGCAAGCATCCTCAGAGGTAGCTTGCCATACCTACCTCTGAGGATGCTTGCCATAGATGCAGGCGAAACGTCAGGAGAAAAATTGCCTCCAGAACATGGCCATATAGCCCGGAAAAACCTACAACAACCCAATAAACATATAACATTATCAATAAGACAACATACAATTAAAACTGTGGGAAGGCCAAATGTAAAATTAAAATTGGAAATAGTGCTGAAGCATGGACGAAAAGGTGATAGTGGTTTTGTGGAAAGACATACGAGCAGACCTAAAAATGTAAAGTGCTTTGGAGGGACAAAGTGCTATGGGATCATCCTAATCTCCAGGGAAGCAGAAAACAAGCTTGCTCCCCTCCTCCCTGTGGCTTCCTCTCACATATTTATACATGGCTATCATATCTCCTCTCAGCCTTCTCTTCTTCAGGCTAAGCGTGCCCAGCTCCTTAAGCCGCTCCTCATAGGGCTTGTTCTCCAGACCCTTGATCATTTTAGTCGCCCTCCTCTGGACACATTCCAGCTTGTCAATATCTCTCTTGAATTGTGGTGCCCAGAATTGGACACAATATTCCAGGTGTGGTTTAACCAAAGCAGAATAGAGCATGGGGAGCATTACTTTCCTGGACCTATACACTATGCTCCTATTGATGCAGGCCAAAATCCCATTGGCGTTTTTTGCCACCACATCACATTGTTGGCTCATGTTTAACTTGTTGTCCATGAGCAATCCATGGTTCAAAATGGTTCTAAAGTACTTTACAGAACTAAAGTTCTGGTGGTGAAAACTAGGGGACGCTGGTGCTTTGCTTCTACAGTGTTGCTAAAGTTCTGGTGGTGAAAATGTCAGAACTCTAACAAAACTTTCAAGATTTCATTATTATTTCATTATTGACTATTTTTATGACAGAACCAATTAAGAACTGCCATTTATAACAAAATTTTGAAAGTTTTGTTAGAGTTCTGAAATTTTCACCACCAGAACTTTACCAACACTGTAGAAGCAAAGCACTAGCGCCCCCTAGTTTTCACCACCAGAACTTTAGTTTTCTAAAGTACTTTAGAAGCATGGATTGCACATGCCTACTTGATAGCCATGCCAGTTCTAAGATTTTGTGGTTCTATAGGTTGTGAATATCTCTTGTTTATCCACAATTTTCTGCTCTGCAATAGTTGGAGCGTTTGGACCTCTATGGATGTTTCCTTTCTATCTCTCCAGAAGCAAAGCCGTTTTGAGTCCCTCCACGGAGGTAGAGAAGAATGGGATATAAAAGTTCTAAATTTTTATTTATTTTTTTTTGGTCATGTCAGAGCAGCCAGTCGATTATATTACATTTCTAACAGAACAAAGCAAACAAACAGAAAAATCCACAACTTGTGAGTTTGGTAGCTGGTTAAATGTCCTTTGACCAGTATCTGGCCACTTGGAGTGCTTCCGGTGTTGCTGCAAGAAGGTCCTCCATTGTGCATGTGGCAGGGCTCAGGTTGCATTGCAGCAGGTGGTCAGTGGTTTGCTCTTCTCCACACTCGCATGTTGAGGATTCTACTTTGTAGCCCCATTTCTGAAGGTTGGCTCTGCATCTCGTGGTGCCAGAGCGCAGTCTGTTCAGCGCCTTCCAAGTCGCCCCGTCTTCTGTGTGCCCAGGGGGGAGTCTCTCATTTGGTATCAGCCATTGGTTGAGGTTCTGGGTTTGAGCCTGCCACTTTTGGACTCTCGCTTGCTGAGGTGTTCCAGCGAGTGTCTCTGTAGATCTTAGAAAACTATGTCTAGATTTAAGTCGTTGGCGTGCTGGCTGATACCCAAACAGGGGATGAGCTGGAGATGTCTCTGCCTTGGTCCTTTCACTATTGGCTGCTACTTCCTGGTGGATGTCAGGTGGTGCAATACCGGATAAGCAGTGTAATTTCTCCCGTGGTGTAGGGCGCAGACACCCCGTGATAATGCGGCATGTCTCATTAAGAGCCACATCCACTGTTTTAGTGTGGTGAGATGTGTTCCACACTGGGCATGCATAATCAGCAGCAGAGTAGCATAGCGCAAGGGCAGATGTCTTCACTGTGTCTGGTTGTGATCCCCAGGTTGTGCCAGTCAGCTTTCGTATGATATTGTTTCTAGCACCCACTTTTTGCTTGATGTTCAGGCAGTGCTTCTTGTAGGTCAGAGCACGGTCCAGAGTGACTCCCAGGTATTTGGGTGTGCTGCAATGCTCCAGTGGGATTCCTTCCCAGGTGATCCTCAGAGCTCGGGATGCTTCTCTGTTCTTGAGATGAAAGGCACATGTCTGTGTTTTAGATGGATTAGGGATCAGCTGGTTTTCCCTGTAGTAGGCAGTGAGAGCACCTAGAGCTTCGGAGAGCTTCTGTTCTACCATCTCAAAGCTCCCTGCTTGAGCAGTAATGGCACGATCATCAGCATAGATGAAACTCTCTGTCCCTTCTGGCAGTGGCTGGTCATTTGTGTAGATAAAGTTCTAAATAAAACACCACAATTCAATTTGTGTAGATAAAGTTCTAAATAAAACAAATAAATTCAAACACTGTAACAGCAAAAGGCAGGAGTACGTGATAGCTTCCATCCACTGGGATGAATTCCCTCAAGGTTTTATTTCAAACGTCTAATAAGCTATCCAAAGTGATGAACTCTATCCCCATAAATAGTTTAAGCACCTTGGATAGATCCTTTAAAGCTCACACTAAAAGCAAACCTCTTTTCTTTCTGTGTGTTTGATTTAGTGTTGACTTGCCTTCCTTATTTGATGGACCTTCTCCAAAAGACGGTTGAGGGCCTGTCCGTGTTTGTACAGCACACATGGTTGTCAACCTTGTATATATATTTTTCTTGTCTTCTTTTCCAGACATCATAACAAAGGAAGAATTCTTAAGGAGACACAAGTCGGAAACAATAATATATTCCCGAGAAAGGAATCCGCACACCTATGAATGCATTTTCCCTGCCAATATTGAGGCTGTTGCTGCCAAGGTAACTGGAGTTATCCTGCCAAGATCTATAGTTTCATAAACTGGCGCCCCTTTATATGAAATGGCAAAATCAAGATGTTATTTTTTTGATATTTTAAGGAGGGGACTTGTTACAAATATTACCGTACAAATATTACCATATCCTTTCTCCCTTTTTAAACTTCCAAAACTTTTTAAATGCATCCTCTTTCCCTAAGAACAATACCAAGGATCAGGTTCCTATTTTCTTCCACATCAAAAACTGATGCCTGCAAATGTATCATGACTCCAAAATCACACTCCTTTCTCTTCCCTTGAGAAAAGGAGCAAGTGACCAGATGGCGTTCCATTGCACATCTGCCACTCCCAAAGGTACACCATCTCTCTCCTTCCCATTGAGAAGAGCTGGAGGTGGGCCAGACTCCTCTGGTCTGCCACAATTTTGGAATATAAGATGGTCTCTTATATAGCAATATTTCTTGCTGATATTGTTCCAAAGTTGTAAATGAAGGACAGATGTTTTTCCAGCCTGAAACATCCTGGCTTCGTCTCAGTTCCTGGCAGATGTTGACTCTCCTTACTTGGTGTTGGTAAACGTAAGGAGCCTTGTGTTGACTTCCTTCTTAATGTAAGGAACCTTGTAAACATTTCCTTAACTTAAAGAGCCATTGTTGTTTTCCCCCAAAAGTTCAACAGTTAATCATTGTCACAGCTCTAATCAGCAACTTTAATTATATGTCATGAATTCTTCATCTCCTTCTTGTAGTTTCCCAGGCCTCATTTCTTAGGATGGTATCTCTATACCAGGGGTCCTCAAACTTTTTAAAGAGAGGACCAAGTCACAGTCCCTCAAATTGTTGGAGGGCTGGATTATAATTTGAAAAAAAAAATGAATGAATTCCTATGTACATTGCACATATCTTATTTATAGTGCAAAAAACACTTAAAACAATACAATAATTAAAATGAAGAACAATTTTAACAAATATAAACTTATTAGTGTTTCAGTGGGAAGTGTGGGCCTGCTTTTGGCTGGTGAGATAGGATTGTTGTTGTGTGCTTTCAAGTCGTTTCAGACTTAGGTTGACCCTGAGCAAGGGCCGGGTAAATGACCTTGGAGGGCCATATCCGGCCCCCGGGCCTTAGTTTGAGGACCCCTGGTCTAGAGGCATTCTCTCCTGACGTTTCGCCTGCATCTATGGCAAGCATCCTCAGAGCGACTCTGAGCGAGGGCTGGGTAAATTACCTTGGAGGGCCGTATCCAGCCCTCAGGCCTTTTTTTCTTTCCCTTCCCCTCTTTCTTTTCTTTTCTTTTCTTTTCTTTCTTTCTTTCTTTCTTTTCTCCCCTTCCCTCGCTCTTTCTTCCCTTTTTTCTGTATTGTCATTTAGCTTTTCGTCATTTAGCTTTTTGGGGCTTTTTAAGTCCCTTCTGTTGTGCTTTTTAGTGTTTTTATGGGTGAAGGACATACATTGGGTTGTTAGGTGCATTGTGTCCAAATTTGGTGTCAATTCATCCAGTGGTTTTTGAGTTCTGTTAATCCCACAAACAAACATTACATTTTTATTTATATAGATGGGTCACTCCTCCTCTTCCATTGCATCTTGTTGTTATTGCAATTCTCATTCAGTTAGTCCAATTATCCCTCCATTTCATTCTCTCGATTTCCATGCAATGTAGAGGGGATGGGAAACTGTTTGGATTGTATATCCATCCATCTATCTATCTAAGGAGCTTTACCCGAGCTGTGGAAAGAGACAGTGATGTACAGAACAAAGATGCTAATGTCAAGCCCAAACAGATGGCATCAAATGTGGAAGGCTTGTTATGCAGCAGGGAAAAGACAAGTAGAAGAAGTTTTTCTCCCCCTTTGAGAAGTAATTACAGAACATGTTGCATTTGAACAAACAAGGTTCAATTACGTGCTTATGTTTTGCACATGCTACCTTCATTTCGACATAATCCCCATCTTTAGATCCGTTAATTTCTCTTTCGGGAAGGGGGCCATTAGAGCGAATTAACGAACAAATGCAGCAGGCAAGATTTGACTTGCTTGGTTGACTCTGCGTTGGGCAGTGAGACGCCAGGCTAAGACAGTGTTGGTACTTTGAGGATGCTTTATCGGTATGGTAGCATGCGCCTAATGCTCCTCAGAGGTGTTGGCCTACAAAGGTGAGCTGCAAGCTGATTAGAATAGGATGACTGTACTAGCAAATTTCAGCAGCAAACTGTTGGCGCAGAGTTTCAGCAATTAGGTTATTTATTTATTTACATCACTAGCCATACCCTGCCACGCATTACTGTGGCCCAGTCTGGTGATCTGAAAAATAAAGTAATGAGAAAGTGTTGGTTTCTAATATATGTAATTTCTTTCTTGCTGTTTCTTTGTAAGTATTGATGTGGAGATTGTCTGGTTTGCCTCCTCTGGAACATGCAACATATAATTGTCCTTTTTTAGGGGTCTCTTTCACATCTATGATACTATATCTGTGTGTGTGTGAATCATATCTATCTCTCTATATCTGTGGCTGGATGGCTCTTTGTCAGGAGGGCTTTGATTACATTTTCTTGCCCTGGTGAAGGGAGTTGGACTGGATGGTCTTAAGTATTTTCTGTTGGCCATGGTTGTTCTGTGTGGGAAGTTTGCCCCAATTCTGTCGTTGGTGGGGTTCAGAATGCGCTTTGATTTTTGGTGAACTATAAATCTCAGTAACTACAACTCCCAAATGTCAAGGTGTATTTTCCCCAAACTCCATCTGTGTTCCTATTTGGGCATATGGAATATTCGTGCCAAGTTTGGTCCAGATCCATCATTGTTTGAGTCCACAATGCTCTCTGCATGTAGGTGAACTACAATTCCCAAACTCAAGGTCAATGCCCACCAAACCCTTCTGGTGTTTTCTGTTGGTCATGGGAGTCCTGTGTGCCATGTTTGGTTGATTCCATCATTGGTGGAGCTCAGAATGCTCTTTGATTGTAGGAGAACTATAAATCCCAGCAACTACAAGTCCAAAATGACAAAATCATTATTTTTTTTAGTGATGGTCACTCCTTGGGTTAGTAGGTGTCTTGTGGCCAAATTTGGCACCAATGCATCCAGTGGTTTTTGAGTTCTGTTAATCCCACGAATGGACATTACATTTTTATTTATATAGATTTCTATTTCACCCATTTCAGCTCAAAGGCAACTCATGGCGGCGTACAGACCGGCAACAATTAGATGCCAGATATAAATACATACATATTATGTATATTAATCGCATCATAAATACATATAAAAACCATAGAAGCAATAAAAACTATAAGAATCTATAAAAACAATGTATTCCAGTTCGATTCCTCATCTGTTTGCATCGTCTTGGCCGTTCCGTGTTCATATTCCAATGTGGGTTTATCTGGTCACACTGAAGTTCCAAACGCCAGGTTTTCACTCTTTTCTGAAAGGTCAGGAGAGAGGGGAACGATCTAATATCCCTGGGCAGGGAGTTCCACAGCCGAGGGGCCACCACTGAGAAGGCCCTGTCTCTCGTCCCCGCCAGGTGCACCTGTGAGCAGGGTCTCCCCAGATGATCTTAACTTCCAAGAACAGTGGTTCTCAACCTTCCTAATCACAGTGGAGGAGGGCTTTTGGTGGGAGGAAGTAAAGGATAGGCAGAGAGATCTTCAGATCTTCAGATGATTCCTGAGACCATCTTTATAAATAAAAATGTAATGTTTGGGTTCTTGTAGGTTTTTTGGGCTATATGGCCTTGTTCTAGAAGCATTCTCTCCTGACGTTTCGCCTGCATCTATGCAAGCATCCTCAGAGGTTGTGAGGTCTGAGGATGCTTGCCATAGATGCAGGCAAAATGTCAGGAGAGAATGCTTCTAGAACATGGCCATGTAGCCCAAGAAACCTACAACAACCCAGTGATTCCAGCCATGAAAGCCTTTGACAATGTAATGTTTAATGTATTGTCGTAGGCTTTCATGACCAGAATCACTGAGTTGTTGTAGGTTTTTTCGGGCTATATGGCCATGGTTTAGAGGCATTCTCTCCTGACGTTTCGCCTGCATCTATGGCAAGCATCCTCAGAGGTAGTGAGGTTAACATAACTCAAAAACCACTGGACGAATTGACACCAAATTTGGACACAATACACCTCTCAGGCCAATGAGTGACCATCACTCATAAAAACACTGAAAAACACAGCAAAAGGGACTTAAAAGGCCAAAGCCCCCCCCCCCAAAAAACCAATACAATGCATGCGCAAAACTACATATATACACACACAAACACACATGTGTACACAAATATATACACACACAAAACACATATACACAGACTGGGCCACCGCAACGCGTGGCAGAGGACGTCTGGTCAGAAATATATGTTTTCTGATGGTCTTTGGCGACCGCTCTGAAACCCCCTTGAGACCCCCCCCCCCAGGGGTCCCAACCCCCAGGTTGAGAAACTTTGTCTTATAGAGTAATGGCTTAGTCAATGGGAGGCAACCTATATCTCTCCAAAATCCATTGCTTTAAATGTCAGGACTATAATTCCAGTTGTCCCTGGCCATTGGCCGTTGACTGTAGATGACGTTGATGTTGATCTCCAATATCCATAGAGTTCAAAAGTTTTCCAGCCTAAGTCACAAGACTGATAGAAATGATGGCTTTGGATAGATGTAGCTGCAGGTAGAACATCTCCAACCTTAAGAAGAAACAAATGATGATGGGTTGAGCGGCAGAAGATGCTTAGAGATGAGGGTTGGAGAAGTGAGGTTACATTTGGAAACTGGGACAAAAGGACACAAGGAACAAAGCTTTGGGGAGCGCTTTGCGCATAAGGGCATCAGATATACCTTTACTTTCCGATATGAAGTCATTTCACCAGGTGCGAGCTCATTTGCCTAATCCTGCTTGAGACTGTGTGCTTACAAATCCCAAGGTGTACTTACGCAAGTCCTTTCCCTGACTCCGTATTTACAGAACAAACATTGTCTGCTTGAAGTTGGCATCGGCTGCACAAAGGATTTAATCAAAGCCAAGATATATCCCATCGTTCTTTTTATCAGAGTCTCCGAAAAAAACATCAAGAAGTTCAGGTGCGTTGAATGCTTTCATGACTTTGTTGCATGCTGCTCACCTTATGTTATTAAGAATAGGAAGCAAGGCATATTACCCACATCTTCCTCCTGTGTATTATAGCCTTTTTATACCTGGTACTGTTCTATCCCATGACGTTTTCCTTCCTTCCCTTGGACTTGATGCTGATCAGGGATATACAAATCCAGCAGTCACTGTAAACGTTGGCCTGAATTGAACTGAAGAGTTTGGAGAGGGTTTGACCTTGTCTTCCTCTGAGAGATTGCAACTTCCATCCAGGGGGGTTCCAAGTTTATGCCTGAAACTACAATTCTCATTTCCCTGGGTTGCTATGAGTTTTCCATGTTCCAGAAGCATTCTCTCCTGACATTTCGCCCACATCTGTGACAGGGATCCTTAGAGGTTGTGAGGGCTGTTAGAAACTAGGCAAGTGGGGTTTATATATCTGTGGAATGTCTGGGGTATCAGAAAGAACTTTTGTATTGATGTTTTTGATGTTAACTAATTGATATTACTCTTTTAAATGATTAATGATTTTGTACTGTGTTGTTGATACTGGTTGTTAACCGCTCTGAGTCGCCTGATGGCTGAGAAGAGCGGTATACAAGTGAAGTAAATAAATAAATAATAATAAATTTTGTCTGCTTGAGACACGTGGTAATGTTGCAAATGGCCACCTTGATTAGGACTGAATAGCCTTGCAGCTTCAAAGCCTAGCTGCTTCCTGCCTGGGGGAATCATTTGTTTGGAGGTGTTAGTTTGCCCACATCTATGGCAGGCATCCTCTGAGATTTTGCCCACATCTATGGCAGATATGGGCAAAACCTCCAAGGATGCCTGCTATAGATGTGGGTGAAATGTAAGGAGAGAATGCTTCTGGAACATGGCCAGACAGCCTGGAAAACTCACAGCAACCCAGTAATTCCAAACATGAAAGCCTTCGACAACCAGGGGCGGCTGAAGCAATGGGTAAGATACGCATTTGCATATAGCGCAAATCATTGAGGGTGCTCTTGAGGCACCCCCACACACTCACAGCAGGTGTGAGAGAGAGGCAGGATTCTTGTGGGTCCCTTGCTGGGGATTGGTCTGGGGGGGGGGGGGCGCCAAAATACTGTTTGCTTACACTTGAAAATTACCTAGGGTCGGCCCTGTCGACAACATGTCATCGTCACCATCATCATTAATGTGGAGGACAGGCTATACTTGAAAATCTTAAGTCTATGACTTGGCAGCCTTTCCTATGACAACTGACTGCAAATTGTGACTATTTAGTGCCGACGTCCTGCATATGCTTACATTATTACCATTTGACTAGAATGCAAAGGAGTGCAGTGTCACGTATCCTTCAGTTCATTATAAGCCGCATCTTTTCCCTCTGAAGTCCTCTTCTTGCTCAAAAGCAGAGGAGAGATTCTGTTTAGATGTGGCCCCTTGAGGTTTCACCTCCTCGTGATCTCATCTATTTTTCATCCAAATCCCGGGCACTTATTATACCTCCGAACTGAGCAAAGGCCCCCAAAGCCTGGTTTCCAAACCTTCGCAGCGATTCCTTTAAATAGCAACAAAGGTGACAGGCAAAAGCTTCGATCGACGGAGCCAACGATAAGTCAAGTCAAGAGAGAGAACTCTCAGGAAAGCGCAATGTCTTTTTTTATTATTATTTTGTGCAAAATGAATTATTGAAACGTGCCAAAATCCGGAGCCGATCCCAAAGTGAGCTGAAAAGAATTCATGCATTGTTCATTTATTATGTGTTCGTTTTAATTTTTTTTTTAAGTTCCATTATGAAGCTTTAGATCAAATTGTCTTAAGGCTTCAAAGCTGAGATCGTGAAGCAACTGTGGTCAAAAAGAGCATGAGTAAAGACTTAAATGAGGATGTACACAGAACCAAAATATGGAGGGTAAAGAAAAGAAAAAAGAGGGTAATCTAAAATATAAAATGAAGGAAACACTAAAATCAGGGCATTAAATAAAGAGCAACACTCAAAAAGCAGGGGAATTCCAGACAAGAATCAATCAAGGCCAGCAAACACCTCCCAACAAAGGATTCCTCCAGGGAGTAACCAGCCAGGCTTTGAAGCTGCAAGGCCATTACTGATCTTATGAGTGTGTGTGTGTGTGCATGTGTATAATGTATATGTATATACATTATACATGGTATATATATACACACACACGGTGTGTGTGTGTGTGAGTGTGTGTGTGTGTTCCCTATATACACACACACACACACACACACACACACACAGAGTATGTGTGTGTGGTAAAGGTAAAGGTTTTCCCTGACATTAAGTGTAGTTGAGTCAGACTCTGGGGGGTGGTGCTCATCTCCATTTCCGGCGTTGTCCATAGACACCTCCAAGGTCATGTGGCCGGCATTTATTATTATTTTATTTATTTACAATTAGACTTACTGTCAGGGGAAAACCTTTACCATAGATACAGATATAGATATAGATAGATAAATAGATATAGATAGATTGTGTGTGTATTGTGTATAAAGGTTTCCCCTGACATTAAGTCTAGTCGAGTCAGACTCTGGGGGGTGGTGCTCATCTCCATTTCCGGCGTTGTCCGTAGACACCTCAAGGTCATGTGGCCGGCATTTATTATTATTTTATTTATTTACAATTAGACTTACTGTCAGGGGAAAACCTTTACCATAGATACAGATATAGATATAGATAGATAAATAGATATAGATAGATTGTGTGTGTATTGTGTATAAAGGTTTCCCCTGACATTAAGTCTAGTCGAGTCAGACTCTGGGGGGTGGTGCTCATCTCCATTTCCGACGTTGTCCGTAGACACCTCAAGGTCATGTGGCCGGCATTTATTATTATTTTATTTATTTACGATATTTCTATGCCGCTTTTCTCAGCCTGAAGGCATGACTGCATGGAGTGCTGTTACGTACCTATTGATCTACTCACATTTGCATGTTTTCAAACTGCTAGATTGACAAAAGCTGGGACTAACAGCTGGAGCTCATTGTGGATTCGAACCACCAACCTTCATATATAATATGAAACCCTCAGTTTGCTAGTAAAACTGAATTCCTGTGTCGCGAAATGATGCATATGGAATATGTATTGTCGAAGGCTTTCGTGGCTGGAATCACTAGGTTCTTGTGGGTTTTTTCGGGCTATAGAGCCATGTTCTAGAGGCATTTCTCCTGACGTTTCGCCTGCATCTATGGCAAGCATCCTCAGAGGTAGTGAGGATGCTTGCCATAGATGCAGGCGAAACTACCTCTGAGGATGCTTGCCATAGATGCAGGCGAAACGTCAGGAGAGAATGCCTCTAGAACATGGCCATACAGCCCGAAAAAACCCACAAGAACCATATGGAATATGTGTGCCACCAACATAAGAAGGATAAAGGAAAAAATTCCAAACTTTGTTTATACAGTAAACCTCATATGAAACCTATATGTATAATATAGCATATAATATGTGTATGTATGCAGTACATATAGATATATTGTATGAAACTAGAAAAACTGAATTGCAAAAGGATGCATGTGGAATAAGTGTGCCACCAACATGAAATGTGAGGAGTCCCCGATGGCGCAGTGGGTTAAATCCAGGGGAGTGTGGATGAGCTCCCTCTATCAGCTCCAGCTCCTCCTGTGGGGACATGAGAGAAGCCTGTTGCGATTTATACGAAAGCTAACCCAGAAATTATGCAGTCCTGTCCAGACTTCCCAGCCCTTTGTTCATCCACAAAGAGTAAATATGAATCAAGTAAATGGGAAAAACAACATTTACTCTTAAGTAAATAAGCAGCTTCACAAAAATATCCAATTTTGAAAAATAACTCAGTCTATTTGCAGAAATAAAACTCACACAAAGTCCTATGCATTAAATCCATGCATCTTCTTCTTCCTCAATGGTGCAAGGAGACAAGTCTTGAAGTTAGTGGTTCAGTAAGTCCCAAAATCCACCAGAAACACTCCTCGTGTTATACTCCATTCAGGGAGTGGTTCAAGATTAATTGCTTCAATTATCCAGGTGTTTTTCCTTAACACACACACACAGGAGACGATCCTTACAAAAACTTAGACATATACATGCATATACTGTAACAAAGCCTTCCACAAGGATGGTAAAAACATCAAAACATCCAGGCGTCCCCTCGGCAACATCCTTGCAGACTGCCAATTCTCTCACACCAGAAGCGACTTGCAGTTTCTCAAGTTGCTCCTGACACGACGAAAACAAAACAAATCATGAAACGCTTGGAAAGCTCTGGCCTAGAAGGCTAAGAAGCAACCAGAAGGCAGTAACAAGTCCAGATTTTATTTTTTCAAAGCTCATCCAGAAGGGAGAGAAGTCTCTGGAATTCACATGGATATGTGAAGCAATGGATGATAGTGAACCCCATTGAAATGAAGGACTTTGCCCCCAAATATGCATAGAGTTGTGTTAGAGGACCTAGAAAATGCCTAAAGAGGACATCTTTTGACAGATGTGGAAAAATGAAACTCAAGGAAGAGAGAGAGAAGGAGAGAGAACATGCATGTATAAGGACTATATTTAGGTTTACATTCTCCAAAATAACACTAATAATACGTTTGTCATGCAAAGAAGACCTGCAAGCCACTCTAAACACCTTTGCAGAAGCATACGAGAAGCTTGGCTTGTCATTAAACATCGAGAAAACCAAAGTGCTCTTCCAGCAGTCACCGGCTAATCCCTCCCCAATGCCAGAAATACAACTTAATGATGTAACATTAGAAAATGTTGACCATTTCCGCTCCCTTGGCAGCCACCTCTCCACCAAAGTCAACATTGACACCAAAATTCAACACCGCCTGAGCTCTGTGTGTGCAGCATTTTTCCGAATGAAGCACAGAGTGTTTGAGGACCAGGATATCCGTAAGGATACCAAGGTGCTTGTTTATAAAGCTATTGTCCTCCCAACCCTGCTATAAGCCTGCGAGACGTGGACAGTCTACAGACATCACATGCAACTCCTGGAACGATTCCATCAGCGCTGCCTCTGGAAAATCCTACAAATTTCTTGGGAAGACAGGCGGGCAAATGTCAGCGTGCTGGAAGAAGCAAAGACCACCAGCACTGAAGCGATGGTCCTCCACCATCAACTCCGCTGGACTGGCCATATTGTCCGGATGCCCGACCACCGTCTCCCAAAGCAGTTGCTCTACTCCGAACTCAAGAATAGAAAACGGAATAGAAAACCAAAGGACAAGAGGGATCCTCTAACCTCTGCAGGAGTCTACCGTGTACCATGCAACTGTGGACAAGTCTACAGAGGGACCACCAAACGCAGCATTGCCCAAACACGAATCAAGGAACATGAAAGGCACTGCAGACTACTCCAACCAGAGAAATCAGCCATAGCAGAGCACCTGATGAACCAACCTGGACACAGCATATTATTTGAGAACACAGAAATGCTGGACCACTCTCACAACCACCATGTCAGACTACACAGAGAAGCCATTGAAATCCACAAGCATGTGGACAATTTCAACAGAAAGGAGGAAACCATGAAGATGAACAAAATCTGGCTACCAGTATTAAAAAACTCAAAAATTACAACAGCAAAACAACAGAGGGGAAACAAACAGGCACAAAAAAAATCACTCTCAACAAAAGATTCCCCCCAGGCACTTCCAAGCCATTGAATGCTAATCAAGGTGATCAGCTGAAACATTCACACTTAGCCCCAGCAGACAGGGGTCTTTTGTCTCACCCTGGTCATTCCACAGATATATAAACCCATTTTTCCTACTTCCAATAGACCTCACCACCTCTGAGGATGCTTGCCATAGATGCAGGCGAAACGTCAGGAGAAAAATTGCCTCCAGAACATGGCCATATAGCCCGGAAAAACCTACAACAACCCAGAAAACGGAAGGTTGGAGGACAGTAAAAGAGATTTAAAGATGGGCTCAAAGCTAAAAAATTCTGGCATAGACACTGAGAACTGGGAAGCCCTGGCCCTTGAGCGCTCCAGCTGGAGGTCAGCTGTGACCAGCAGTGCTGCATAATTTGAAGAGGCACAAATGGAGGGCGAAAGAGAGAAACGTGCCAAGAGGAAGGCGTGTCAAGCCAACCCCGACCGAGACCGCCTTCTACCTGGAAACCGATGCCCTTACTGTGGGAGAAGATGCAGATCAAGAATAGGGCTCCACAGTCACCTCCGTACCCACCCCCAGGTTACCATCATCCTTGGACTACGTGGGATCGCCTAAGTAAAGCATGCAAAGTTGTGTCACTCCTGCACGGGTATAACAGCAAAGGTGACCTGCAAACCACTGTTTTTGCAAACAGATGGAAGACAGTATGGAAGATGACAATGAAAACAAGCCTAAATATAAGCTGAATAGGAAATCAATAGAAAATTATTACTTCATGGTGTGATTCCCCATGGAAGATTGAAAGGGTGCCCCACTGATCTGAAAGTAAATGCAGGAGAGTCGTAAACATCAACCCAGCAGCCGTGATCCTGTCTTTGGTAACTAAAACATAAAGGATTAACAAACGGTCAATTATTTCACTTGAGTCGGAGCAGGAAGTGATCTTTCAATTTGCATTAATCACGTTGAAGCAACAACAGAAGGTTATTCATTGGTGGTGGCAAAAATATTGCCTGGAAAACAAATGCAGACTAACTTAATTGTCCACTACATATTGCAGCTTATAAAAAATGAATTTTGGCTGGGGGAGCCTCCGTATAAGAACTATATTTCAGAAAGGTATTTTGAGTCATCCAGATATATTAAGATGCTGGGAGGAGAGCGCATTGGATTTTCCAGCAGCGCTAAATACCGTCTTCTGGTGTGATTGTTCAACAGATCTGTATGGAATCGAAGAAATGCTATTAATGGGCCGAGGTTTTAATTTAAATGTATTGCTAGTAGTATTTTGTCAGGCCGCCTCCCAGTTAAATTATTGGCCCTAAGTCAGAGAGAGTTAATTGCACTTAAGTCCAGTTGAAATTAATGGGACTTAAATGAGTTCATACTTCCTTGTCTCATTTCATTTCAGTGGCGCTCGGAGTTTGACTAACTCTCTTGGCACTAAAACCATTTAGTTTCAATGTAAAACATGATTGGGAAAGGGTGAAGAGGTGGCTCCGCACACCTACAGTGAGGAGATTCCAACTGAACATGAGGAAGAACTTCCTGACTGTGAGAGCCGTTCAGCAGTGGAACTCTCTGCCCCAGAGTGTGGTGGAGGCTCCTTCTTTGGAAGCTTTTAAACAGAGGCTGGATGGCCATCTGTCAGGGGTGATTTGAATGCAATATTCCTGCTTCTTGGCAGAATGGGGTTAGACTGGATGGCCCATGAGGTCTCTTCCAACTCTTTGATTCTATGATTCTATGATTCTTAAAGCAGACCTGGATATATACACCACACACACACACACACACACACACACATGGTGGTGCAATGGGTTAAAGAGCTGAGATGCTGAACTTACAGACCAAAAGGTTGCAAGTTCGAATCCAGGGAGTGGCATAAGCTACTGCTGTTAGCCCCAGCTTCTGCCAATTTAGCAGTTCGAAAACATACAAATGTGAGGTGTCTACGGAGGTGTCTACGGACAATGCCGGCTCTTAGGCTTAGAAATGGAGATGTCCCAGAGTCGAATACAAGTAGACTTACTGTGAGGGGAAAACCTTTACCATATATATACATATATATATATATATATAGAGAGAGAGAGAGAGAGAGAGAGAAATATATATATATATATATATATATATATATATATATACACACACACACATACATACATACATACATACATACACACATGTAATGTTCGTTTGTGGGATTAACAGAACTCAAAAACCACTGGAGGAATTGACACCAAATTTGGACACAAGACACCTAACAACCCAATGTATGTCCTTCACTCAAAAAAATTGATTTTTTCATTTGGGAGTTGTAGTTGCTGGGATTTATAGTTCACCTACAATCAAAGAGCATTCTGAACCCCACCAATGACAGAACTGGGGCAAACTTGGCACACAGTTCTCCCATGACCAACAGAAAATACTGGAAGGGGTTGGTGGGCAGTGTCCTTTGGTTTTGGAGTTGTAGTTCACCTACATCCAGAGATCACTGTGGACTCAAACAATGATGGATCTGGACCAAACTCTACACGAATACTCGATATGCCCAAATGTGAACACTGGTGGAGTTTGGGGAAAATAGAATCTTGACATTTGGGAGTTGTAGTTGCTGGGATTTATAGTTCACCTACAATCACAGAGCATTCTGAACCCCACCAACAATGAAATTGGGCCAAACCTCCCACACAGAACCCCCATGTGGGCCACAGCAACGCGTGGCAGGGGACGGCTAGTATATAATAAAAAGGTATATAGTGTGTGTAAAGGTTTTCCCTGACATTAAGTCTAGTTGAGTCAGACTCTGGGACGTGGTGCTCATCTCCATTTCCGGCGTTGTCCATAGACACCTCCAAGGTCATGTGGCTGGCATTTATTATTATTTTATTTATGTATGGTATTTCTATGCCGCCTTTATCAGCCCAAAGGCATGACTGCATGGAGTGCCGTTACCCTCCCGCCGGAGCTGTACCTATTGATCTACTCACATTGCATGTTTTCAAACTGCTAGGTTGGCAAAAGCTGGGACTAACAGCTGGAGCTCATTGCGGATTCGAACCACCAACCTTTGTATATAGTATGAAACCCTCAGTTTGCTAGTAAAATTGAATTCCTGTGTCGCGAAAGGATGCATGTGGAATATGTGTGCCACCAACATAATAGAACATATATATACTCTCTCTCTCTATATATATATATGTGTGTGTGTGTGTGTGTGTGTGTGTATATATATATATTCTCTTATACCTTTTATATATTATGTATTCTCTTATACCTTTTTAATATATATAAACAAATACCAAAACAAATACCAAAGGCCATGACATATGGAGAGATGCATATATATATATATCGAAAGGTTGCAGGTTCGATTCCGGGGAGTGGCGTGAGCTTCTGCTGTCAGCCCTAGCTTCTGCCAACCTAGCAGTTCGAAAACATGCAAATGTGAGTAGATCAATAGATACCGCTCGGCGGGAAGGTAACGGCGCTCCATGCAGTCATGCCAGCCACATGACCTTGGAGGTGTCTACGGACAACGCTGGCTCGTCAAGTTAAAAAGTGAGATAAGCACCAACTCCCAGAGTCAGACATGACTGGACTTAATGTCAGGGGACTACCTTTACCTTTACATGTATATATATATATATATATATACACACACACACACACACACACACACACACACACACACATGCATACACACATACCTATATACATACATACACAGACACTATATACCTTTTTACTATATATATATATATATAGTGTGTGTGTGTATATATATATTTCTCTTATATCTTTTATATATTATGTATTCTCTTATACCTAAAAACCCACTATATATATATATATATATATATATGGTATATAGTGTCTGTGTATGTATGTATATATGTATGTGTGTATGCATGTGTGTGTGTGTGTGTGTGTGTGTGTGTGTGTGTATATGCATCTCTCCATTTGTCATGGCCTTTGGTATTTGTTTTGCTTAGCAAAACAAGAGGTGGTGGGGACTTATTTGCAAACCAGAATCTCTGTAGACACATCTATGCGTGTGTATAATATGTATCTTTTATGGCTTGCCATTCTGTGATGCAGGAAGCTCTTACCAAAGCCTGAGATTGAAGAAGAGCTCCTACCGATGTGCCGCCAGAATGAGAAAGAGCTGGAGGGTTTGCCCTGCCTTTATGCCTCCCTGGAAGCCGACGCTTGGAGCAGCATCGAGGACCTCCTCCGCATCATCAAGGAGAAGGTTGCAGAAGAACAGCAGAAAACCATCTGGATTGACGAGGAGCAGTTGTGAAGCCCAGACCCAACTGGTGTCGGAGAGGGAGGTGCTGCTTGATTGCACAACGGAGAAGCCCAGAAGGTGCTGGATTCCCAACGCAGACTCTTTGAAATCTCTGAGATGGATCCTGCCTTCACTAACTCTTCCATCTGTAGTCAGATGCTGGGAAGTCTTGACAAACGTCCAAATGCTGAGTGTGAGGGCACCACTAAACAGTTCAGCCATAACACAGCCATGTGGCTACCACAGATGCTACTTAGAGGTTCTGGCTAGGACTTTTCCTCCACAGAGGTTTGCTCCTTTACCATGGACACATGCCATTCCTGGAGGCCAGGGATGTCAAAGTTTATAACCCTCAATCTATTGCAAGAAGTTTATACACTCTCAATGTGGAGAGTCAAACTAAGATGCTGAAGAAGATATAGATGCCCTCCAACATGGAGAAGCTGGGTCCGGCTATAGTGGAGGAGGTTTACACTTAAGACTAAGGCAGAACATATTCCATTAGAGAGATCCCATCTCCTTATTAGTAGAGTGACTCTTGGGACTTCATCACATGGACTAACAGATTTGTAGAGAAGCATGGGGGTCTGTTCCTGTAGCAATGGCAATAATGCTTTTCGATAGCAAATTGCTCCATGAAACGTTTACTCCTTCCTATCCCACTGTTTTCTTGAAGCGTTCTTTACCTCTTGTTGCATGCCTTCACATTCATCACATGGAGGAAGGCTTGTCAAGTCCTCCCTGCTTTGCCCCTTTCTCTAGCAGCCAAAAAACCTATCTTTTGGAAACTGCCCTGAATCCCTTCAGGGAGATAAGACATGTCATAAATAAACTATTATTATTATTATTATTATTATTATTATTATTATTATTATTTTACTGACACAAAACCACAGTATGCCACAGCAAACGAGATCTATAAGCTGGATTTTGTATCACAAAATCACAAGTCGAACACATCCCAAGCGTTTAGGACTGTGTGATGTATTTTCGGATGATGCACGCAGATCCAAGTCAGGTGGCCTTTTGCAGTTGACAGGTCATGATTTTTTTTGTTTATTGTTTCCAATGCCGGCTGAGATCTTTTGGCACGGCACCCAGTGTGCCGATGACCACTGGGACCACCTGTACTGGTTTCTGCCAGAGCCTTTGCAGTTCAATTTTGAGGTCCTGATAACGGCGGAGTTTTTCCTGTTGTTTTTCCTCAATGCGACGGTCACCTGGTATGGTGACATCAATAATCCAAAATTATTTCTTTTCCACAATCATGATATCTGATGTATTGTGTTCCAAATCTTTGTCAGTTTGGATTCAAAAGTCCCACAGTAGTTTTGTGTCTTCATTTTCCATGACCTTTGCAGGTTTAGGATCCCTTTACCAGTTCTTTACTACTGACAGGTGATACTTGTGATATAAGTTGAAATGAATCATTTGGGCCACAGAGTTGTGCCTCTGTTTGTAGTCCGTTTGTGTGATTTTTGTGCAGCAGCTGAGGATATGATCCATGGTTTCATCAGCTTCCTTGCAGTATTCTTATTATTATTATTATTATTATTATTATTATTATTATTATTATCTTTTTCTCTTGTTTTTTTTCTCTGCTACCTCTGCCATCACCTCCCTAGCCAAATCTCCATTGCTCTATGACAGCAGCAGCTCTTTCTCACTTTGCAGCAAGGAAATGGGACAGGGAAGGAGACTTCCCATCCTGCATGTTTTTAGCCTTAAAAAGCAGAGCAAATCACAGTAGCAGCTCACAAGGCAATTACTATTCACTCCCTCCTTCAGGCTCATTTCAGTGACAGATGGGAACACCTGATGGCCGGAAGTAGCTCAACGTCATGTGATGGTCTCCATGCTAGGCTTGAGTGTGGATCCATTTTTAGCCATTCCCTTCGGCCAATCCAGCTTCTTCAGCTTGGCCCGGTGGCCATAACGGCAAGGGCCAAGCTGTCATGGTTTTTCATCCGTAACGGGGCCACGTGACAATCAATCACGGCTCCTTCTCCCTTATTCAACAGCACAGATGAATCTTTTTGATTTTCCTTGATTTTCTTGTTTTTTTTTTTATTTAGTGAGACTGACTGGATGTTGGGGACGTGGAGGATGGGTGGGTGGGGTGCACGTGCATGCACATTTATGGGCTTGGAGTGTTACCTTTTTGGCTTCTTTTTCTCCTTCCCTTTCTCTCCTTCAGAAAATCCATCTAAAAGATTTTAATTTTTTTAATTTATCGTGTCAGGGGCAACCAGACGATTGTATTACATTTTCAACACAACAGAAACAAACAAACAGACACAAAACACAAATTTTGCAAACTTGGTAGTTGATTAAATGTCCTTTGACCAGTATCTGGCCACTTGGAGTGCCTCTGGTGTTGCCGCAAGAAGGTCCTCCATTGTGCATGTGGCAGGGCTCAGGGTGCATTGCAGCAGGTGGTCAGTGGTTTGCTCTTCACACTCGCAAGTCGTGGATTCCACTTTGCAGCCCCATTTCCACTTTGGATTCCACTTTGTAGCGACTTGCAACATGCAAGCAAGAAAGCAAAACAACCAACGGACCTTTTCAGGACCAACCATGACAATAATCTCAATCTAAAAGATAATAATAATTATTAATAATAGTAATAACGAGTGGAGTGCCATCCGCAGGGTTCCGTCCTGGGCCTGGTCCTGTTCAACATCTTTATGAATGACTTAGATGAAGGGCTAGAAGGCATGATCATGAAGTTTGCAGACGACACCAAATTGGGAGGGAGAGCCAATACTCCAGAGGACAGGAGCAGGATTCAAAACGATCTTGACAGATTAGAGAGATGATGGGCCAAAACTAACACAATGAAGTTCAACAGCGACAAATGCAAGATACTCCACTTTGGCAGGAAAAACAAAATGCAAAGATACAGAATGGGGGACAACGCCTGGCTCGAGAGCAGGACATGTGGAAAAGATCTTGGAGTCCTCGTGGACAGGAAGGTGAACATAAGCCAACAATGTCATGCGGTGGCTAAAAAAGCCAATGAGATCTAGGCCTGCATAAATAGGAGCATAGTGTCTAGATCCAGGGAAGTTATGCTACCCCGCTATTTTGCCCTGGTCAGACCTCACCTGGAATCACACTGTGTCCAATTCTGGGCACCATAATTGAAAGGAGATGTTGAGAAGTTGGAATGTGTCCAGAGGCGGGTGACTCAAACGGTCTGGAGAACAAGCCCTATGAGGAGTGGCTTAAAGAGCTGGGCATGTTTAGCCTGAAGAAGAGAAGGTTAAGAGGAGACACAAGGAGGGCCATGTATAAATATGTGAGGGGAAGTCATAGGGAGGAGGCTTGTTTTTTGCTGTCCTGGAGACTAGGACACAATGGAACAATGGAACAGGAAAGGAGATTCCACCCGAACATTAGGAAGAACTTCCTGATTGTGAGGGCTGTTCAGCAGTGGAACTCTCTCTGCCCTGGAGTGTAGTTGAGGCTCCTTCTATGGAGGCTTTTAAGCAAAGGCTGGGTGACCATCTGTTGAGGGTGCGTTGAATGCGATTTTCCTGTTTCTTGGCAGAATAGGGTTAGACTGGATGGCCCACAAGGTCTCAGTATGGTGGAGGTTCTTTCTTTGGAAGCTTTTAAGCAGAGGCCAGGTGGCCATGTATTGGAGGTGCTTTGAATGTGATTTTCCTGCTTCTTGGAAGGGGGTTGGACTGGATGGCCCACGAGGTCTCTTCCGACTCAAGGGCTCTATGATTCTATGCTTCTATGCTTGGGTAAACAGTAAGCTGAACTCACAGTCAGGAGCTCACACCAACCCAGGGCTTCGAACTGGCAACCTTTTGGTTGGTAGATGTTATCATTGCTGGCGATTCACCAGCTGTGCTAAAGCCTGGCCCTTGGAGGTGTCTATGGACAAAGCTGGCTCTTTGGCTTAGAAATGGAGATGAACGCCGCCTCCCAGAGTTGGACACAACTAGACATAATGTCAAGGGGAAACCTTTACCTTTACCTTTATTATAAAGGTACAGAGAGCATACATTCCTCATTAAAATCTACTTTATGCTACAGATAGCTAAAACTCCATTGAAGCTCCATTGCTGCCTGCCGGTGAAGCCTTTATGCGTCTCTTCACCAGTATGCTTCGACAGAGCTTGTACGAGGCTAAATAAATTAAAACGAAATGAATAGGTTACATAGCTCTGCCTGGCAGATTGTGTCCTCCTATGCACGGAGTTGCCAGGCGCCGTATAAACCCGGCCCTTTGAAAAATACAGATTGCGAAAGGCTTTGGAAGTGGCAGCTAGAACAATTCCCCCACTTTAACATCTTAAATTAAATGGCAAGTTTTTTTCCCACATACCCATAGCAAACTGCCTTGTCACTTGACATACTTTCTTCTATAAAGGCATTTATGAGCACATAAAAATAACAGGCGCCTTCTTTCTCTTTCTGTATATATATATAAAAATTGCATTGTTGAAAATGCCGTGGATTTCAGTCCTGCAGCTGATTGCAGCCGGCTGCGGATTGAGGGAAATAGATGTGAAACGTTCAGTCAAATGTGTTTTATGGTACCAGCACTTCAAGAGGGATAATTGGAATATGGCTTTGAAGATTATATATATACGTATATATAATATATAGAGAGAGATGTATGTAAGTGAATGTGTGCATCTGCACTTCTAATATATGAAAAAAATTAAAAAAAACTTTTTAATGGTGGGATTCAGCACCCAGAGTAATAAAAGCACACAAATTACACCTCTTTTCTTCCCCCACTTGCTTTGCCGAGACGAAGGGGGGAGAAAAAGGATTTTGCATTATATAAAGCCAGCATCATGCGGTTCAGTGTATCGGGGATTTGTTGCTTGTAAGGATTTCCGACTAACTTTATTTCACAGTCTTTGATTTTCTTTTTGTGCCAGCATCCTGGCTGGAGGGTAACATACCAATCCTTTTTGCCATGGCACAGTGATCATCTTTGCGGATGGAAATGAAAGGGCTCCCCCCCCCCCCCGGCTTCAAAATGACAATGACGATTACTCCAGCTGCTCCAAATGCATCACTAGCCCAATGAGATGTCTCTCAATGCAGATTCTTGTGGTTTCTTTGGGGGTGCCCAGGTTGGTGTAGCACTTGATCAGTCTGGGATGATGCACACATGGAGTAGGTAAAGGTAAAGGTTTTCCCGCTGGTAGAGGTCATCCGCAGTTTTGGAGTTGGGTGCCATCTAAGGAAGTAATGCTACCCCTCTATTCTGCTTTGGTTAGACCACATCTGGAATATTGTGTCCAATTCTGGGCACAACAATTCAAGAGAGATATTGACAAGCTGGAATGTGTCCAGAGGAGGGCTACTAAAATGATCAAGGGTCTGGAGAACAAGCCCTATGAGGAGCGGCTTAAGGAGCTGGGCATGTTTAGCCTGAAGAAGAGAAGGCTGAGAGGAGATATGATAGCCATGTATAAATATGTGAGAGGAAGCCACAGGGAGGAGGAGCAAGCT